ATCATCATAATATTTTCTATGTGATTGTCATTTGTTATCGATAAAAATTTGGTTTTTTCCCCACTCTTTCCACTCTCGTGTAGCATACATGATCATGGTTGTTTTCCTGGTCAGACATGAACGACAAATATATGATTTCCCCCATGATAATAATGATGGTGGTCGTAGTGGTAGTTCAGATCGATAATTTTCAATTTCGAAAAAAATTCTTCTTGTTGTTGTTCAAAGAATTTATTCAAACAAATTCTAATCATAAAAATTTTTTGCTGTTTTTTTTCGCCAATTTGAACAATTGATTTGTGATTATAATACGTGTGTAGTCATGTTTTTTGAACCAAAAAGAAAAAGAACCAAGAAAAAGAAAAAAGTTATTATCATTTTCTGTTTTTTTTTTCGTGACCTGTGTGTGGCGTATATTTCCAGAGAATGTTTGGATTGGTTATAATTTCATATGGAAATTCTTCTTGGAATTCCAAAGAGGTTCGATGTTTTGTAGTTTTCACCTTCCGAACACAAATAACCTTCAATCTCTATGATAATTAACACCTTGTTTTCCACTCGGGTATTACATAATTATGATTTGAAAATCTTTTTTTTTTTTGATTTTTTGGACTGGTATTTCAATCGTTCAAACATTTGAAAACTTTTATCTTTTTTTGGATTTTTGTACTTAAATGGTTGAAAGAAGAGATGATTGTGTCAACAAACTTTCAACAACAATGAATAAATTCTTTCCCAAAAAAAACTTTTTTTTTCTTCAAAAAGTAAAAATTCTTGACCAAGAATACATAGTTGCTGATTGAAGAATCTATTTTTCCATCTCCGTTCTGCATCTAGAATCTGCATTCGATTGATTTTTTTTTCAATTTTCTCAAAAAATGGATTTTTCTTCTCTCGAATAAAATCCCACTTTATATACATAATATGCATACAATTTTTTTATTTGAACTTAAAAAAAGAGAGATTATACTTGGAAAATTGATTTTTTTTTTCTTTGCAATTTCAATATTTATATACAGAATAGAAAGAAGAAGAAGAAGAAGAGAAAGGGAGAAGGAAGAGAAAGCAAGAAGATATTGCCACCAGGTCGTCACAATGCGATGATGGAAATCTTTTCAGAAATTTTTTTTACTGAAAAGATTTCCTAAAATTATGCTAATGATGATTATTTCTTATTCATCATTTCTAAATTCAAATTGCGATTAGATAAAATGAAAGAAAAAAAAACTTTTTAAGCTTCAATCGATCATTAACCAAAAAAAAACCATCAAGAATAATCTTAATTATCCAGACCAAAATGAATCTTTTTTCTTTTTGTTTGGTTTGTTGAAGATTTCAATTAATTAAAGACCAGAGTTTTAAGATTCTGGTCTTTAATTATTTCTATTCGGAACAAAAAAAAAACCAAACAAACAAATTTTGTAATCGCTATTCATCTCTGGAATACTTCTTGGTCACGAAATAATTATTTCATTCATTCATTTATTTATCGGTTTGTTTGTTTGATTTTTTTTCACTGATAACCATAGATAGACAGAAAGATAGAAAACCAAAGAAATATCGTGAGAAAGAGATTAATTTGAATGGGACAAGTTTCATTCACTTTTTTTTGTTCAGGGTTTTATTTCCGAGAAACTTTTCTTTTCATGACTTTCATAAAGATATTTTTACGGATTTTCTTTTTCTCATTTGATTTTATGTAGCCAAAAAGAAAAAAAGATTCTTGTGAATGATGAATTAATGCACATCAGTTTCCTGACGAATGACGAATGATTTTCTCCTTGAAAATAAATGGAAATTGAAACCAAAAAGAAGTTTTTTTTTCTTCTCTCTTTGATGAAAAAAGTTTTCTTGGAAAATTTCCTGCTAAAACATTGACACACAAAGAAAGAAAGTCAGAACCAAAAGTTAACCATCCGCAACAGCAAAAGAAAAAATTGAAACAAACCACACACACACAAATGGATTTTCATGCCTGTGAAATAATCCAAAGTCCATTGCTTTGATGATGATGATGTGTTGTCGATGGTAGTTTCCATTCCCATTTTTGAAAAAAATAATTTAAAATTTTATTTGCAAAAAATCCAATCCAATGAGAAAATGAATATTGAAAATTTTTAAATTGAAACAAAATTTTGTAGGAAAGAAATGAACAATGTGTATGAAATTCTTCTTCTGTAAATATTCTTTACTTATCATTCTTTTTCTGGTAACATTCAATTCAGTATTTTTCGTTTTGTTGCAATTGGTTATCGGTTATTATTCATCATCAAAGTAGGATTCTTGTTATTTTTGTAAAAAAGAATTGCATATCGTAACAACAACAACAATCAAAAATAACGATACCGAGAAATTTGCTCGGGAATCAAACACAAACAGACGGATTATTATTATTTAGATTTTCATTTTTCACCCGTATTCGATGCTTATTATGTTTCGGTTTGGTATCAGGATTCCAGGATGTAACCCGTTGGAAAATTTGAAAAATTTGAAAAATAAAATTCATTCATTTCACTTAGCGGACAAACTTAACAATCACTTATGAATGAATCGGATCATTAGATTGAAAATTTCATCGATTTTCTTAATTCAAAAAAAGAATGAAAAATTTGTCTTCTGGCCTTATTCGATGATAACGATAAGATATGATGATGATGATCATCATCATCATTATATAACAATGAAAAAAAAAATGAAAAACATTCCGTTCACATAATGATGCATTTCTTGTTGCTTTTGCTGTTGTTGTTAAGGCAAAGAATCCTTTGTTGCTTTTCAATAAAAATTCTTGAATTTTTCGTTTTTCCCATGTGGAATTTAGAATTTCCATTCGCTCAACAACAAAAACAAAAATTATCTTTGTTTGGAAAAAAAGAACATATCATGTTTTTTTCACTTTGCTGTATGATTTTGGCAAAATATAAAATTTCAATCCTTTTTTTTTGCTACAAAAAAAAGTTTTTAAATTCATTAAGTTATTGTTGTTATGAATTCCCACGAACAAGAAGAAAAAAAATTCTGAAATCATTTCAATCCAAAATTTTCAAATGAAATTCTATATCCAGACATAAAACACAAACATTCAATTGTCAAGTTTTTTTTTTGGTTTGGTTTGATAAAATAAAAATGAATAACTAAGAAACTTTTCATAAAGAATTTCATCATCATCATCATAGTTATTCTATAAGAATGAGAAAATTTCCCAGGAAAAAATTCCATGATATCATTATTATGGAAACTTTTTCTTTTTTCACTTGATTATGCTATCTCTCATCGTTGATGACATTATGATTCATTTCTGATTTATTCATTCGTTCATTCATTCGATTAATGATAATGATGATCTTTGATTCGAAGATCATTAAGGTATCGTTTCATTTTTTTTCGCTCTCTTCTGGCCCTTTCATTGATAAAACATAACATCAATCGATTCGAATATGAATGTGATAACCATAAATGAAAATGATTGAAAAATCCAGATTCAGATTTGCCAGAATTTTAATGAATGAATTTTCCGGAACAAGGAATCTTTCTACCTTTTTTTTGTTGTTGTTGATTATCATTTCCAAAATATATGAAGAATATTTCCCGAAAAGATTTCTCAAAAAATGAAAAAAATAGATAAGAAATTGGTCTATATTGGTGTGTTTGTGTATGAATAGAATTTGCATAACATTACAGGAGAATAGATATTCAGGTCGAGAAGTGAAACAAAATTTCGCAAAGTAAATTCAAAGTCTGAAAAAAACAACAAAAAACAAGGAAATCAAATTTGAAATCGATGATGATCAGATCCAAATATAATTTGATTGTTTTACACAAGAAAATTTTTACAAAAAAAAATTTGAATTTTAAATTGAAATAAACTCAATTTCTGTTTGTTTGTTTTTGGATATTTTCAACAGGAAATTGGCTTTATTGGTTACAATTATGTTCTGTGATATACAATATGGTTGGTTTTAGATGGCTAATACCATCATCATTTGATCGAAAATTTATTTCATCATCAATTTTATCATTATTCATCATCATTATCATTATAACCGAATCAATGGCCAATACAACAACAACAACATCATTGATGATGCCACAATCAGCTGAAGCATTAATATCATCATCATCATCAAGTTCAGCATTATATAATTCAATGAAAAAATATTCAACAAATATCAAACAACAACAACAACAACAACAACAGGAACAACAACAACAATCACATCAACAACAACAACAAAAAGAATCAATAATTGATCATTATTTTCGAATAAAACCAAACGATATTTATGTAATTGAAGGTGATAGTACTGAATTAAAGTGCCAAATTAATCCTGATATTGATAATTATGGTCCTGTACAATGGTCAAAAGATGGTTTTTTATTGGGTAAGTTTTTTCTTTCTTTTTCTTTATGGTTGCTTTTAAATTGATTTAGATGATCGAACCAATGATACTGATGACTACAAATAAGAATTTTATACAAACGTCATCATTATCCATTATCATCATCATCATCATCATAATTAACATGAATTTCGCTTTTGTTTCTGGATCGTTTATCTTTTTGTTTTTTGTTTTGTTGTTTTATGTTGGATGCGGTTTTTTTCTCTTTCACTCTCTCTCTCATCAAATTGATGATGATGATTAAAAGAATGGAAAATACAATGTTCGCAGCAAACACAAACAAAACCAACAAAAATACCAAACGCCTTATCACCCACCATACACACATTTTCATTTATTTAATGTAAAATGAAACTTTTATTTCGCTGTTGTCTTTTTGGCTTTTCATTCATTCATTCATTCGTATTTTTTGTGTCCGGGTTTTCTAATTGTGTATGAATCCTTCCCATACACCCACTAACCAACCAAACAAACAAACAAGCAAAAAATAGTATTAATTTTCACAATGAAAATAATGGCAATCATCATCATCATCATCAATGGAATTGGATGTTGATTCATTCATTCACATTTTATTCATTCACATTTCAAAGATGATGATTGTAATCGACACACACACACAATCGTTTATGTTGTTTGGTTGTTGTTAATGTTGTTGTTTGGCTCGAAAAAAAAAACGTTATTTTTTATTGTGTTTCGTAATTCGTAACTATCGCATATCGATTATCAATGTTTTTCGATTTTTTTTTCTGCCTGTTTGGTTATTGGTATAATGATGATCATAATTGGATAAATTTTTAGCAATTTCTTTCGTTTTGTTTGGCGCTCATTACATATCGAATGAATTTTCTGATATTCGTTTTTTTCCTTTTCTTATTCCTAACATTTTGTTGTTGTTGTTGTTATTTTGTTACCGATTTTTTTCAGCATTACATATATCGATCATATTGATCAAATAAACGTTGTTGTTGTTGTTGTTTTCTTTTTGGAATTGAAAATCAATTTCCATTGCTAATGATCATGATGATGGTGAATAACCCGAATGTTTTTCGCTGCTGTTTGCTCAATGTTCTTGTTGAATATCCGTCCATATTTACAACCATTGTAGTTCAACAACTAACATTAAATCAAATTAAAGAATATTCTCGAAATTTTTAATTACATTTTTCTTTTTCGGTCGTTGCAACCGGAATTTCATTTGGTAGATAATATTGTTTTTCCATTCAAAACAATAAAAAAATGGTCATTTTTGTTGGAAAATTTTGAAATTATCATTGATGATGTCAGGCTATATCCGTTTCATTATTGTTTTTTTTTTATTTTTTTTGAATTGAATTGTTATAATTTTTAATTCTGGAGAGAAACATTTCCGGGAAAAACATTGTCGGGGAATTTTTTTCCTTAAAATATTTCTTCATCCCCTCCTACCAACGCCACAACTAATGTTCATTGATTTAATTAGTATGATAATTATTATAATGATGTTAATAATGATAATGATTGTGGTCATTTTTTTTTGTTTCGGTTGTTATTCTGATGATAATGGTCATTATCATTATAATGAATAATGAGATACATTAAAAAAAATGAATTTCATCAACCAGAAACCCAAAAAAACTTTACGAATAGCTCATTATTAATCATACATTTAGGGTAATTTTCTCCCGGTTTTTTTTTTGTTTCGGTTTTGAATCTTTCGCTTTTTCCCGGATGACCAGAATAACCAATTTTTTAAAAACCGCGTTTTCTCAATCGAGTTTCCGCAATGATCTTTGGAAATCATTCAAATTAATTCATCTTTTAAAGTCAAGTTCAAGATCTTTTTACCCTATTTTCTGGGTTTCATGATCATCATCGTTTTCATAGAAAATTCCAAATTTATTCAAATTATTCAAATCAAAATTCAAACAAAAAGAAAAAAAAGTGAAAAAGGTATCTTTATTTAATAGTAAAAACACTGTCAATGAAATAATTGATTCATGAATAATTAAAAAAGACGAAATAAAACACACTAAAGAGAGAGACGTTTGATCACGTGGATTTCATGTATTACTGCCAAAAATAAATCCCAAAACCCGATTCTGTTTCATTTGTTTTGTTTTGTTTTTGTTTTTTTGGTTTTTTACGTACGTCTTTTTCATCATTATCATCATTAATCACTGGACTTTTTTTTTGGTTGTTGCTGTCGCTGCTGCTGTTTCATACGGAATCGACAATCCAATTTGTCGTCGTCGTCGTTGTCAAGATCTTCTTCAATGTCGTTGTTTTTGTTGTTGCTGTTTCGAAAACATTATCTTCTCTTTTACTCTTTCTCTTCTTTCTCTCAGTTTTTCTGTTTTTTTTTCTGGTTTTACGATTCTTTCGAATCTGCGCTGTTTTACGCGATTCTTTCGAATCGTTTTTTTTATACTTATCATCGATTATTATGTGATTTGAATATATAAATAATTTTTTTCTCTCTCTCTCCTAGCTATTACTACTTTTGCAAATTCCGGTTCTGGTGATCCAGAATCATCATATTATTACTGAAAGGAAAGAAAAAAAAACTAAATACAAACAGTTCATGTTTATGTTACGGTCATCATCATCATGATTATCATCAATCAATTATGCATATGAGAGAGAAAAAAAAGAAACGAAATGTTTTATAACTAATCGAAACGCCCACCACTACCACCAAAAAAAACCCTACTACCACTATTATTACCATATTTGACCTACAAATGTAAACATAGTTTCAAAATTTTTTTTCATTATCATTATTCCCTTTAGCATACGGAATTTTTTTTTTCTTCGGCAAAATCATTTTTCCTGTTGTTCCATCTCTCACTCCATTTTAAAAAAATTTTGATGCGGCGCATATTTGAATAACATCATTTTTTTCGGGTATTCCATTTCTCTCTTTCGGTGACAATGATTTATGTATTTTTGCTTTAATTTTTTTTTCACTACTGATTCTTTTCACTTTTTCGTTATATTCTGGAAAATTTCTCGGTTGCGTTATTCTCAATTAATGTTTTGGAATATATTTTCTTCTTGTTTTTTTTGGATTTCTCTCCCTTTGGAAAGAAATTAAAAATGCACTTTTTAGCCAAAAAGAACTGAATGACTTTGCTTTGCTTTTTTTTTCAAAATTCTTATCCGCAAATAAATTCAAATTACCCATGCAGTTTTTTTCGAAGAAGAAAAAAAAAGTTTTCACGAAACACGTCATCTATGAAACAATGTTAGAACCAAAAAAAAAAAAAAATTATTCAAATTATCATTTTGAAAAATTCTTGAAAAATTTTCTATTCATTTTTTACTTTTTTCTTCGATTCAACTTGGTTCAACTCAGAATAATAATAATAATAATAATTTTCATCAAAACCAAAATGAAAACTATTGAATAAAAAAGCGAAATCAGTCAGAAAACCAAAACCAAAATCAAACAAACAAACAAACAAACAAACAAACTTTAATCTCTTTCGAAGCTTAAAATGATTTATGGATGCTGTGTGTATGCGATTTCGTAAAAAAAACTGAAAACATTATTTTTTTGAGGTTTATAATTCACCGGGCGTTCAAACTTACCGCAGACACACATGGATCATTTATGGATTAATTTTTACACCGAATGCATTAAGATTTTTCTTTTTATTTTTTTTCTCTGGTTTTCCTTTTGGATTTTCGTTTCAGAATAGCCAATGAGAGTAGAAATACCTCAAGTTTTTTTATATATCTCTCTTGCGATTTAATTGAAATGAAAAATGAAAATTTTATTCAGTTTTGCAATCAGACAAACACACACACACATTCATACCGTACACTTTCCCGGAGATTTACCCGGAATAAAAATTTTCAGAAAGTTTTTTTTTCGAAAAAAAAAACAAAAATTAAAAGGATTTTTCTTTTTCTTTTTCTTTGATGAATTTAACCCAAATAATGTAATGATATTTTTATTTCTTTTTTCCGTTTTGTTTCGTTTTTTTGCATTTACTTAATGAAGAAAAATTTTAAAAGTAAACTTTGTAACATTTTTGTTCAGTTGATTCAGTTAGTTGATTCAGTTTGTTTGTTTGTTTCTCATTTATTATAACCACCACCGACATCATCAGTTTCATTTCAGAAATTATTGTTGATATGCTCCAAGGAATTACGGAATATCCAGCCAGAAAAAAAAGCCAACCAAAAAAGAGAGAATATTCATAGAAAATGATTTTTGCAATTCACCAAAATACCAAAGAATATTCCTGTGATGATGATGATGATGATGATCATTTTTTTCATTACACAAGAAAAAAATTCTTGGAAATTTTTTTTTTATTAAAAAATTTATTTTCATTCAATAACAATATGTTATTGTCGTTGGTTTTGTTGTTACAATGAAAATAATAATATCTATTAATTTGTTTATATGCGTAGGCGGTTTTTCAGTTTTTTATTTCCGGAAAATTTCTCCAAAAAACCACCACACTATTCTTTCTATCACACACAAACAAAATGCATTTTTTTCATTTGAAATTCTCCCATTTCATTTTTTTTCATTTCAATAAAGATTATTTGGATATTTTTATGGACAATGGGGATGATGAAATTTCAACAAAAAGTTTCAAATTCTTTTCAACAAAAACATAATCAAATAGAAATTTCTGTATGGAAAAAAAACATTTTTTGTTTGTTTGTTTGAAAATTTGAATGAAAAGAGATCCAAAAATAAAAAAATCGATCGATCGATTCAACCATATCGATCGGAATAGAAAGATAGTTATTTGTTTGTTTGTTTGTTACTGTGTGGGTTTTCGATGATTATTATAATCATATTTCAGTATTGAGTGAGAGAAAAGAGCGAAAATAATATTCATTCATTGTATTTTCAGTGAAAAAAAAGTAAGGTAGGTATTTTATACAAAAAAAAATTTCAACAAAATTCCACCAAAAATAATATGAATGGACATTTTTGGCAATTTTCATTTTGTACAGTTTGAACATTTGGTCTACATACACATTACACACACACACACACACACACACACACACACACATCAGACTAACAGAATATTCATGACTTTTTGTTCAATGATGATCATCACTATAATCATCAATTTAATGATCTCGTTTTTTTTATTCTTGTTTTTTTTCAAATTTTTTTTGTTTTTTGTATTTTTTTTTTCTTCTTTCATAGGTTATGAAGCAATAATACCCGGTCATGATCGTTATATAATGTTAGTAAATCAAACACAACGAACATATAATCTACATATACAAAATGTACAATTAGAAGATGAAGCTGAATTTGAATGTCAAACGACAAGTGCCTCATCATTATCATCATCAACAATGATGATGATGACCGATCATCATCAACAACAACAACAACAACAGAATAAACAACCAATTCGTGCTTCAGCCAAACTACATCTTATCAGTAAGTTTTGATATTCTTTGAATTTTCTTCTTTTTTCAAATGTTGATAAAAATATTCTGGGCGTGATTGAAATATTGAAAAAAAGTTCCTGAACTTTTTTTTTCTTTGTTTACGGGAAATTTTCTTTATTTGCTCACCGCTGCTTTTTTCCGCTGGTCTTCTTCTTCTTCTTTTTTCAAACATTGAACCGAAACCAAACGAAAAAAACCAACCAACTTTAATTGTTGTGTAAATACAAAGTTGTTTTTCTCTCGCAAATATCGAGAGTATACAGAAAATATCTTGACATTTTTTTTCACTATCAAAGAGAAAAAGTGAGAAAAAAATAAATAAAACAGATCATTCTACTCGGAAATATTCCCGAAATATATATATTTTTTTGTTGCTGGGATATTTATATCCGGCGGTATATTTCTTCTTATCATCATCATCAAATAATATTTATTCAAATGTCCAATATTTACTTTTTTGTTTGACTATTTTGACTTTATTCGAAATGATCAAGTCGAAATAGTTTGAAAAAGATAGTGATGATGAAAAAATGACGTCCAATAAACACATCAACATTGAGGAAAAAAAATTGATTTCAATTTTTCAATTTTTTGTTTTGTTTTGTCGAGAATTCTTTGAAGAATCGTTTTTTTGTTTTGTTTTGTTTCTTCACTTCACACACACACTTTGCTTTGAAGAGATTTTTTTTCTTCATTTTTCGTCGATTCTCAATTTGATCGTTTCGTTTTCATTCTTCTGGGTCATCTCTTTTTTTTTGTTATTTCAAAAAAAAGAAAAAAATCTACCAAAGTTCCTTATTTTTTGCCCATCGTCATCGATTTCTTTTGGGTTTATTTGTTCTGTTCAGTTTTGTGTTCATTCAATATCTTTGCATTATCATCACAAAGTGCGGTGGTGGTGGCGGCGGTGGTGATGATGATGGTGGTAGCATCAGATCTTTTGGACCGGAAAAAATAGACTTTTTTCTTTCTTTTCTCTCACTCACTCACTTTCCTTTTTTTCATATGTCTATTTTTGTTGTTCGTTGACCAGAGAGCGAATAAAAAAAGATTCTCTCTTTGGTTTGTTGTGTGATGATGTTGATGTTTATTGCAGTGTGAATGAGTAGTTAGAAAAAAAAATTGTATATTCGGTATATAATTGAGTTTCCGTTGTTGTTTTATTTACGCCCGTTTATTTTCATCCATCTTCATCCATCTTGGGTGGAAATAGAATTCGAATTCGAATTCTCATTTTTCATTTTTCGTCTATGTCAATTTATTGAAATTTTTTTTTGTTTTCCATTCTCTTTTCGCTTTCTTTCTTCAATCAAAATAATCATCCAAATCATAATTTGATCAAAATTCAATTTTCACAACAACAACAACGACCATCACCACAAAAATCAATGAGAGAGAGAAAAAAAAATGTTAATCATTCGAAACGAATGAAATCAACGCCCAAAATGAAAAACAAAAACAAAACAATGATTTTGTGATGAACATGATACCGAATCAAAGAGAGAGAGAGAGAAAAAAATTCTTGTGACATCTGAAAATGGATGTTTGAAAAGAATTCAAAAAAAAAGAGCCTAAAACAATTTCTTTGGCCATTTATCATTTGCAAAAGAATTTTGTTTCATCTTTTTTTTTGCCCTCTCGTTTGCTTTATTGTATTCCGAAAAGAATTTATTCGAATCACTTTCTTATTCTTTTTGGTTATGTCATCTTATGTCATCATCATCATCATCATCGAAGAAAACAATTGCAAGAATTGTACACATATAAAATGAATTTGTTTTTGCAAAATTCTTATTAACAACAACAACAAAAACAACAACAAAAACAATCGAAAAAAAAATGTTTCATCATAAAATAATATAATTACAAAACAAAAAGATCGAGCGAGCAAGCAAGAAAGACAAAGAATCATTTTGAAACCAAAATAACATTTGTTGTTGTCGTCATTGTTGTTGTTGTTGATGATATTGTCATTATTATTATACAATTGTGAATAATAATAATAAAAATTACGCGTGCCATTCAAACAACCGTTATTCCAAAAGATTCTTCTTTTTTCAACAAAATCTTTCGAAGCAATTCTCCCGAATATCTATCAAGGAAACCAAGTTTTTTTTGTTTGTTTCATTAATTTATTCGATGATCTGATCTACATCATACTACTACTGCTACTGATTTGATTTGAATTTCAAAATGATAATGATCTTCAACAAAACAGAACCAAAAAAAAGTGATTAAAACAACATTGCATTAGCATAAATCTTGAATCGATTATAATGATGATGATGTGATTTTTGTTATTTGGATTCTTAGTTTTTCTCCTTCTTTTCTTCAGTGATTTTTTCGCTGTTTATCTATTCATTTCCGTTTTTTTTGTTTTGTTTTGTTTTGAGCAACGAATGTCGAAATTGAAATTAAGAATATTACCCACCACTGTGTAAATGAATTGAATGAAAGAAGAGGGGGATGACAAGAAGAAGAAGAAACATTTACTGCATCATTGTTTTTTTTTGGTGGCTGATGAGTTGCAAATTTTTTCTTTGCTTTGAATTTTATGATTTAACGGAAACAAAAATTGTGTATGGAATTCAAGCGAAAAAAAATATATTCTATGAAAGAATCGTATAAATAATTTTCGTTTAGTTTTTGAAACAACAACAAATAATGATGATGATGAAACGATGAAGATGTAAAACAACAACAAAAAACAAAATTTCAATCAGAAAACAGCGAACCATTATTATTATCATCGACAACTGTTGTTGTTGTTATTATTATTTTTAGTCGAAAAGTTTGTTTGTTTTTTGTTTTTTGATTGAAAAACAGAATAATAAATTCTTTGTTCGATGCCGCAATACAGAATCAGAATCTAAAAAAGAATAAGCCGAAAAAAAACATATGTTACTTTTTGTTTTTGTTGTTGTAATTTTTTATTATTTCAAAGAATAATTTGTACTTTCACTTTATACTCAGTTTAGTTGAATTTATCCAACGAATAAATCCAGAATTTATATGATGCTTTCACTTTTCCTCGGCTAATATTCGATTTTTCTTCTTGTTCTTCATTTTCTCAGCATCTAAAATAAACGGGAAAAATGAAGTGAAACAAATAAATAAATAAATAAAATGAAGAAAACAAAAAACAAAAAACAAAAAACAAAAAAATAATGAATGAAATCAAATCAAATGAGTCGAACGGTTGTTGTTGTTGTTGTTTTGGGTATACCCCAACACAACAATATGTTGTTGTGTAAAAAAAAAGAACAACAACAACAACAAGAAGGAAATAAAACTTTTTTTCCCATTATAACCATTTGGTATAGCAACAAATTTTTTTAATTATAAAATTATATAATGATTTATAAATGTGTTGTTTGTTTGTTTGTTGTTGTTTGTTGTTCCAAGTATCGATTGTATCGAATGTATTTCGAACGTTTTGGAAATTATATTTTCCGCTCAATTCTTTTTCGAATCATAAATAACTTTTCATTAATCTTGATTCTTTTTCTTTCTTTTCTTTTTTTTTTTGTTGAAATTGAAAAAACAGTACCACCAAAAGTGATATATATAAATTCTACACGTTCATTTGACAATCCAAATCATGATTCAACATCAACATTTCGTCCATCATCATCATCATCATCATTGAATATTACGTCCAATAATCAAAATAACCCTTCGCCATCATCATCATCATCAATGTTTATGATTGATGCATATGAAGGTGAAAAGATAATAATCGTTTGTACAGTACCATATGCAAAACCACCACCAAGATTAAAATGGTATCGTAAAAATATTGAATTATTACCGGGTAAGTTTTCAAACTTTTTATTTATTTTGTTTGATTGTTTTTTTACTTTTGAAATTTTCTTAATTTGTTGCTTAAAAAATGGTTAGAAGCGGCCAAAACAACTGTAACAAAAACTTTATTATCAAATCGTCATACAATGTATTCGATTGAATCGAATTTAATTCTGTATCCAAAAATCGATGAAGAATATCGTTGCCAAGCTGAACATCCAGGCCTTTCAAAACCATTACGTGCAATGGCAATGATAAATATTTATCGACAACCATCCCCACCTGTGATAGATGGCTATAAAAATGGTGATATTATAAATTATCAGGAAAAATTAACATTAAAGTGCACTTCAATTAATGGTTATCCACCACCGACAATCATTTGGTATCGTAATGGTGTTGAAATTGATCGTCAATCAACAATTATACAACAAAATGGTCGTCATGAAGTATACAATACATTAACAATTATTGTTGATCATAATGATAATCAAGCACAATATACATGTCAAGTGATGAATAGTTTAACAACTATACCATTACAGGAAACGATTACATTGAATGTTTTTTGTAAGTTTTATTTTTTCAAAAAAAAGAGAAAGAAAAAAATAATTTTATTCAAACAATGTTTCATCCATACACCCACACACATCAATAGTATTTCCAACAAAAATTCATATCGATGGTCCAACCGAGGTATTATTATCGGATGATAATGATTCACAAGGTTTGTCATGTTGCATGCTATTTCAACCCCTTTTTTGCTGTTAAATTTGAAGAAACTTAACGTTTTTCTATTTTTTTTATGTCAAAAAATATTTATTATCGGATTATTCAAATTGATTACATGTTTCTGGTTGATTGGATCAATCTTCTTTTTGTTGTCTGAAAAATGATCCGAACTATTGTAAAAACGGGCCTAAATCATCGATCATTGAAATAACAAAAAAAAATACATAGGAGTACCAATTACATTGGAATGTAATGCACATCCTGCATCACATCAACCGAATGAATCAAAAATTCGTTGGCTTATCGATGGTAAAGATGTTGAATTTAATGATAATAATAATCATAATCATCATCATCAACAACAACGACAACAATATCGTAATAATCAACGATCATCATCATCATCATCATCAATGATCAACAATGATGATGATGGTAATAATAATAATTTTGTTCAAATAATCAAACATGATCAACAAAGCTGGACATTACGATCAAATTTAACATTTGTGATAAAAAATAAAGAGCCTAATATTCGAAATATTGCCTGTATTGGTAAGTATCATTGAATCATGATGATGATGATGATGATCGATTTAAATTTAAATTACATTTTTGAACAACTTTTTTTCCCACTTTTGTTTCTGCATTTTTTTGTTGTTGAAAAAATTCAAAAATTGATCTATCGATCCGAAACAACACTACCATGTCATCATCATCATCATCATCTGGGATGTAATTTTATCATTCGATTTTTTATTTCTGGACCGAAAAAAACAAAACCAAAATCCATAGCCTATTCAACGAATGGAAAATTTGAAACATTATCCACAACACATCAGATTAATGTGATTTGTAAGTCAATGAAATGAATCATTATTTTATAACAAAAAAAAAATAACATCTCTCAAAATTTTTTTAGATCCACCCGAAATGCCTATCCTACTTGGTGTTGAAAATAATCGTGCAACCGTTTTTGTTGGTGAAATTTTCAAATGTAAATGTGTTTGTTATGGTGGTAATCCACGTGCTAATCTAATCTGGCTTAATCAAAATGATCGTGAGGTATATGATATGATTTATTTATTACAAAATTGGATACCGAACCCGAACCACCAACACATATAGAAAATAAAATCCAGAAAATACACATGGGAAAATTTATTACGAAATTCAATTTCAAACCTGAAAAAGAAAAAAAAAATTCCCCGTTTACCAAGAAAAAAAAGAAGAAAAATTGAAAACAAATTGACAAATGATCTATGTTAGCTAACCAGAAAAAAACAACTTTGTTGTTTTCCTTGAATGGCCCAGAATATTCTTTCTATGTTTTTTGTTTTGTTTTTTTTTTGTTACTATTCTTAACTCAAAGCTTATTTTGTTTTGTGTGGGTGAAAAAAATAAATTTATTTTTTTTTTACATTCCTGTTTTACTAATTTCTATGGCTTATCCAATTTTCTTTCGTTTGCTTATTTGCTTTTCCATCATTTCCCGAAACAAAATATTTATAATAAAAAAAAGATATCCGCTTTATCAACAACAACCGGTACTGGTATTAGTAGTGAATTAGTATTACGTCCAACTGCCAATGATCATGGTCAAATATTTCGTTGTCACGTTATACATCCTACGTTGTTGTTAAAAAAACCATTGGAAGTTTTCTTTACGCTTCATGTAATATGTAAGTTTTTTTTTCATTTCATTTATATATTTATTTTCTTGTTTTTTTTGGAAAAAAATGTCTTTTTTTTCCTGTTCACTATATAAAGAATTTCTTCTTGTTTAACTATCTAACTATCTATCTATCCGATACATATAATCATATGAGATTCACATCTATCCAATCTTTCTATCTTTCTATCTATCCATCTAATTTTCGTTCATGGATTTTTTTTTTATATTTATATTTATACGATTCTATGATGATAATGGTAATGATAATGATAATAATAGTGAATAGTGAATCACCAAGAAGAAAGAAAAAAGAATGCGCTCCAATTGCCAATTTGATTCTGGCTTTGAATTCTGATTCTGTTTTTCTTTTCTTTTTTTTCCATTCATTTATTCTTTGTATTTTTTGCCTTATGAAATGGTTGTTTCTTCTGTACAATGTGTACTGGTATTTATCTTTTTTTTCTTCTTTTTGTTTTGCTTTTCGGTTGGTGGGGAGAAAAGGGTTTTGCAAAAGTGATTTTCATTGAATTTTTTTTTTGTTTCTTGTTCGGTTTTTCAATATATCCATTTTCATGAATGTTTTAAATTTTTCTTTCTGTGATGAGAAACATGATTTTGTTTTTTGTTTTTTCTCTATTTCCATTCATTAAATACGCAACCAGTCAATCGTGTAACATTGTATTAAACAATAGATAGATAGAAAAATAATGCAATAGTAATCTAGAATCTAGATTGTTTACAACATTCAAATAAAAAAAATGATAATGATAATGATAGAAAAACGACAACAACAACAACAACAAGAATCAGTTAAAAGAATGAGAATTTAATTGCATTTTTTGTTTTTGTTTTGTTTTTTTTCAAAGTCAATTAGTTTTCCTATAGTTTTTTCATTCAGAAATGGAAATAAAAATCATTCCGGAAACGTGTGTTACTCATTTGACCTTACAACCAAAAGTTTACAGATTCCCTGTAGCATTTATGGTGTATTTCGTAAGAGAAAATTTCCGGAAATTTTTTCTTTGAAAATAATAAAAAAGACAGAATTTATTTTCTTCTGGCTTTTCTCGTAAATGAATGTCAACAATTTTTTTTCTATTTTATGTTTTTCAAACAAGAAAAAACATAAATTCTTCTGCCAAATTCCTGTATCAATGATGTACAATTAGATGATTAAAAACTTTGGTATTTCATTAAAAGTTTGTTTTTTCCAATCCATCCGTCCACTCACCCCCCCTTTGAAAACAAACTAAAAATTAATTTTATTTCTCCACAACCCCCACTGAAAACAAAAGTTTTTCCAATTCCGGTTCTTGTTTTATTTTTGTTTTCAAATTTAACAATTTTAAAAATCAAGTATGTAATTTCCTCTATCTGTGTGTGTGTGTGTGTGTTTCTCTTCGACATTTGTAATTTCCTTTTTCCATTTTTTTCGAAAAGATTATAAAAATCTTTATAAAATTTAAAATTCAATAACATTTTTATTATTATTATCCAATAATTCACTTGGCCTAATTGTTGTAACATTGAATGTTTCATTCGTTTATGACAATATTTTATGACATTATGTTTCTGTGTTTTTTTTTTAAATCAAATGATACTAAATTACATTGAATGATTTAACTGATCGATTATTATTATTATTGGCTTTGCTGGATTATATTTATATAAACAACCAAAATAAATTTAAAATTATAACCAGAATCCCTGGGAAAAAACACATAAAATCCTAATCTTGTCCAATCAATTCATTACCACCCATTTATACTTGTGTTTCTCTTGTTTTATCGTGTGTATGGGTGAGAATTTTTTTTTAACAAAATGACATGATTACATCACGTTTTTTACTTTTTTTTTGTCATTTTGTTTGGTCAAAACATTCTGTAAAAACGAAATTCCTCACTAGAATCTCGATGAGAATCCCGAATCCGTTATGTTTCACACATTCTTTCTATTCTATAATTTTCCCGGTTCTTTCATTCGGTTGTTTTCATAACTTTCTTCAAAACATTTTTTTTCGTTTTTGTTCTGGAAAAACAAAGGAAATAAATGTTTCAATTGTTTTCCATCACTGTTACTGTTGTTACATTTTGTCTGATTGATTTTTGGCGACAGTAGAGAAGAACAAGATTCCGTAGAAATATTATGGAGGAAAAAAATTGATAATAATAAATTGAAACAAAAAACAAATTTTGTCATTATAATTACAAATAGAATGAATTTTCCAAAGAATCAAACTTTGAAAAAAAAACAAAAACCTTATAAAAAAAATATTTTCAAACAAAATAAATAGACACGTTTACATTTCAGAAACGACAAATTTCCCGGTAAAATAATAAAAATAGATTTTGAATTGTATTTTTTTCTTCAATTTCTTCCCGGAAAATTTTCCGTCCAATTTTTTTCGGTTATTGTTTTTTTCCTTTTTGCCCATAAAAATTCTTTCAATTCTTTTTTTCATCGGGTTACATCTAATAGCTTCAAGGCATTTCGAAAAATATTAGAAATTTTACTTTTTGTCGCCGCTTTCTTCGTCGATATTAGTCGATAATAATCGATTTTGATCAAAGTAAAATTCTGTTCACATCCAATGAACCATGATGATAAGGATCAGGAAATGAATAAAAAACTTCCAATCTTAGATCGTTGCGTAGCGATAACAGAAAAAAATATATTCGCAAAATCAGAAATCAATCTTGATATTTTCGATTCGGCAAATGTCTATTTTTGACCTATTTTTTCTTGTTGTTGCTGTTGAAATGATGAAAAAAAATCTGTCAAATTTTTTTTTCAAAAAAACAAACAAATTTAATTGACTTTTCTGTTCCAAAGATGACCAAATCATACATCACTCTATTCTATGATGTTTGTTGGGTCGACCACAACAACAACAACCGAAACAGAAACTAGAAAAAAAAGTCAAAAATCATCGAATTCTTTGGTTCAATGACGAAACAACAACAACCAAAAAAACTCAATATATATTTGTCTTTGTAATTTGGCCATCATCAACTCATAATCATCATCATCATCATCATCAATCTTTGTGATGAAGCAAAAAAAATGAAAATATTTTCATTTCAATCATTTAAGAAAAATGTTTTTCATTTTTTTTTCGGTTCTTCATGGTTATCGCTTCAAAGATCACAGACACACACTTGGATTCTCTCGTCTTTTCTTCTTCACATTGGAAAATACACGCTATTTACTCATTACATGTCGATGATGATGATGATGATGATATTAAATGGGGCAGAAAATGAAAAAAAAAACAAACAGAAAACATCCAATTCTTTTTCCTAGTTTCTTAATTCATGAACTTAATTCATTTATGAAACAATACAAGAAGACAAGATGGATCAATGAAATTTTGAAATTGAAGAAAAAGAAAAGAAAAAAAGGAAATTCTAATTTCATTTTAAGAATCGAAAAGAATTGTTGTTGTTGTTGTTGTTGACATTATTGTTGATTGTCAGAAGCAAGAATTAAGAAACAAACACACTCACATCATTTGACAAACATGATTTTCATGCATCTTTGCTTGAATGATGCTCGAAAAACAAAACTATAAAGGTTCTATAGGAACCAATGAAACTTGAAGATTTTTTTTTGTTTTGTTCTGTTCATTGCGCCAATTGTTCCAAACAAACAAACAGCAAAAAAAAACTATCATGATCTGGCCATTGGTCGAATTGGTTGTTGTTGTTGTTTTTCTGACTGACTTTTCCATCATCATCATCATCATCATAACGATGATGATGACGACAACAACAAGATGAATTACCGGAAAGATAAATTGACTTTCGGTTATTATTAAGAACAACAACAACAACGACAACAAGTAAATTTAACTTTGATATGTTCGTGTGTGTGTGTATGTTTGTGTTTGTAATATACTTACTTACTTTTTTTTTCTATTTTTTTTTCTTCAAGAAATGACTTTTATTCGATCCACCGATGTTGATGATGATTTGATTATGTTATGTAACCAGAAAAAATAAAGTGTGGGAGAGAATATTTTGTTTGAAAGAGAGAGAGAGAGAGAGAGAGAGAGAGAGAGAGGATGCTTGTGTGCGAATGTCATTACACTGATGATGGAAAAAAAAGTTTCCGATCATAAAGAAAATTTTCTTTTCGATTCTTGAATTTTTTTTTCATCATTCTTTACATTCTTTGATTTTTTTTTCTACTCAAGATTCTTTGATTCTCTCTCTCTCTCTCTCTATCGATCATCGATTTGTTGTTGATGTTGATGTCGGTTTCTTAAGAGAAAAAAAATTGAAAGAAAAGAAACCGGAATCACCAACAGACCAAACGATCAACCATTCAACCAACCAACCAACCAACCAAACATCATAATCATCGTCGGGAAAAAAAAGAAAATAGAATCGAAAACTAACAACAAAACAAAATTCAACCTATAGCTAAAATTCAATCTCAACAACAACAACAACTTTATCATCTTATTTTTTGAAAGCCAACCAGAAAAACAAAATTGATTAATTGAATTTTCTTTTTTTTTGGAAAATAATAAGAAATTGATTCAATTCATCATCATGATCAATTTATCAAAATCATTATTATTATTATATCATAAACATCTGTATTTATGGCAAAAAAGAGAGAAGAAAATTCATTTTTTTCAAGCCTGTTTTTCGTTGTTGTTGTAGACTCGATAATAAGAATGTGTGAGTAAATTTTTTTCGGTCAAAAGAAAAAAAAGAATTCTTTTATTTGGTCAAGTGTGTTCAAAACAAATATAAAGATTGTCCGATTGAAAAGAATGGAAACGAAAATTCGGATTTTAAACATTTTTTTTTTTTTTTTGATTGAACCAATTTTGTCAATCTTGTAAATGGATGGATGGATAAAAAAAATCAATTTTCACCAATCAAAAAATAATGATGAAAAACAATTGAAAATTTTTTTTTTGTTTCGAAAAAATTTCAACTAAACACAATGACACAATCAATTAATTATGATTGGCAATCTCATCCAACACGCATCAACTTTCTGCTACAAAATCACTTACATTGGATAATAAAATGATCAAATTTTTTAAGATTAACAAAAAACAACTTAGTATTTATTGATAAATGAAAAGATAAGAGGATAATCTATAGTTATAACATAATATTATGATAGATAGTGCGGATTATTATAATGATAGATAGTGTGGATTATTATGTTTTTAACAATAGAAAAGTGAATTTTTAATTTTATCATTCAATTTGACCAATTTGTTCAATTGTGAAATAACATGACGTTCAAACTCTTCTTGATTTTCAGCCGGAATATGTTTGCTTGCATGTTGTGCTTCAAGATGCATTTTCGAACGATATGCACAAAGATCAGCATAACGAACCGGAATTGGCATTGCAATCGGTCCACCACGATAACGAGTACAATTATGGCATAGATAGAAACAAATTTTTTGCAAATCATCCATGCTCATTTGTCGTCGTTCATAATCGTTATGCAAAACAACGTATTTCAATGGACGTGATGTTCCCTATTATTTGTTAATAATGTAAAAAGGAAATAGACATTTCAAATAATATAAATCGATTGATATTCGAAATGAACGCTTACCAATGGTGAGAAATGTGAGTTGATAAAGAACATACAATAAGTTGGATCAATGATCGTATGATCAACAACAGTTCCTGATGGAACATTATGCAATGGACGATCCGGAGGACCACTTGGCTGTGTTAATGCAAAACGAGTTTGATGTCCTTTCTGTGTGACAATGTAAACCATTTTGCCCACTTTTGTTCGTCGTCGAATAGCTGTACGAATTTGATTGATTTCATTTTCAGCATATTTAAATTGTCCTTCTGAAACACCATCACGAAAAACGATAAAATTTTCCGGTAAATATTTGTTGCGTTTTTCGTATTCATCAAGCAATTCATTCATCATTTCATCAAGTGTGGATATCATTTCTTCTTTTTCAAGTTTTTGAACACGCACACTTGCCGAATAACAAGTAAATTCATGATCATAACTACCAATAGCACAAGAAATTGAACTTTGTACTTTTTCACAATCACCAGGATGATTAACATCAACACCGATGGCCATAGTTTTTTTATGATCAATCGATAATGATTGAAGATCTTCATTTTCAATGTAGCTATTTTTGCCACAAATTTTTCCATTAACTTTCAATAAAATATTTTCAGTATAACCACGATTACGTCGTTTAGCTTTGGACACCAACATACATTGTGTGACAATACCGAATTTTTGATCACCAAAATGTTTAACAGCATTGTAAAGAAATGGAACTTGAATATGAAGAAAATGTCAATAATAAAATCTATATAATCAGAATTCAATCAAACTTACTTGGTGGCAATGCTATAAACAATAAGTTGATATCGGGTAAATTTGTTAGAATGTTTGCAAATACATTTTTCACTACATCAAGATTTCGATTATCTATCGGTACAACTTGTTTTTCCATACAATTCGATAGATCCATTCCAAAACGACGACCTGTTTGTTTCAATTCCGATACCATATTATCAACGTCACGATTATTGAATTTTTCATCAAAACTAAAGAATGCCCATTTTGTTGGACGAACAGATGCAAAACGATCATTACGACCACCACCACGTATACGTGGTGAATCCAAAACACGACCCATAAATCGTACAGGTTTTGGCAATAATTCTGCGCCAAAATGATTCATTTTTTCTTGATTAATATCGGCAATTTCATGTGACAATCGTGATAAATGATTGAAATAAACAACTGGTTTGTGAGTTGCAACACGTAATAATTCGTTTTGAACTATGGAATCCATTTTTGAATTGTTCAAGAATTGTTTCTCAAACATATAACACAATTCTAATGGTATGGTCAGTTCACGTTTGCCAGCCATTTTAACGAGAGGATATTTTTTTGAGATGATATTATATTTCATTACAAAATATTCATGAACGGAAACGGGTGTTTCTTCATCACTGCCATTCTTTTTCATCATAAATGTTTGTTCATGTGGTCGACACTGTGAAAGTGATTTTATTACATATTTTGCTTTATGACCACCATGAGTAGTATAAACTTCTAATCCACGAATAATTTTACTAACACTTTCGATTTCACTTGGATTAAGATGTTGTGGATCACGACCATCGGCTATCATTGCAACAGCTTGTAACAATGTTTCGGCTTCCAATGAAATCATACATGATGTTTTCAAATGTAAATTCAATGATGGTCCCATTTCGGTTATATGTACAGCACTACTAAAACCTTGTACAAATTTTATCCAACTTTTTGGGCCACGAAAAACACCAGATTTTATATCGAACAGATTACGGCGATGTTGATGAAACTTTTCCAATGATATATTTTGTATCAATATTTCAAGAAAATTTATGGCCACTCGTGGTACATCCGATGTACGGCCTGCATAAAATTCAACAATACCTGACAAATCGATTTTCTGTACGTTGGCAAGTTTGGCTACAAATTTTTTTGTTTTGCCACCAATATCAGCATCGAAACTTTTAATCAATCCTCTCACATCAATTTCTTCGGTAGTGTAAATATTTTTACCATTATCATAGACATATCGATCGAAATCAAAATTCTCGGCATTCAATAAGACAAATTTAGTGACCAATTGTAAGGCGTTACGAGAGAAATATTTTTGTTTTCGTTCATTATCCGCATTGATTTCGGCTCGTTCATCTTCGTCTTTGAAATTGAAATCAATATTATATTGATAGACGATAGTAGGTTGAACATTAACCCGCATGTAATTTGCCAATAATTCAATCTTACGACCTTTGACGCCGCGTTCGACTTCGTTAGGCATTACAATGGGATATTCCTGTGTTTCCGGATATGATGAAAAACTTTTTGGTGCCATGCGATCACCACCAGGGCCACCACTTAAACCGCCACGGCCGCTACCACGATCACTGTTTCCACGTCCGGCACTTCGTTCACCAAATCCACTTCTTTCATGGTCTCCTCCGCGGTCACCATATCCACTTCTTCCACGATCTCCACTACGGTCCCCGAATCCGCTACCACGACCGGCACTTCGTTCACCGTATCCACTTCTTTCACGATCACCTTCGTCGCTTCCGCGTCTGGCACTTTGTTCACCATATCCACTTCTTTCACGATCTCCACCACGGTCACCGAATCCGCTACCACGTCCAGCACTTCGTTCACCGTATTCACTTCTTTCACGATCTCCTCCACGGTCACCGAATCCGCTACCGCGTCCGGCACTTCGTTCACCATAGCTACTTGGGTCACGTTCTTCACCGCGTGAACTACGACTTTCATCATCACGTCGGCTACTGGATTGATATTCATCTTTTTGTTCTCGAGAACTAACTGAAGGACGTCTTGTTGATCGAAGTTCATGTGTTGTTTGACCACTTCGTTCTAGGGATAATTAAATTTGGAAAATCAATTCAAAAAGAAAAAAAAACATTTAAAATACCTTGAATTGATAATTCAGAAATTTGTGATCGAATTTCTTCTTCTTGTTTTGGTTGTTCAATTTCTGATTGTTCGCGTTGTTGTTGATGTGATGAACCAGATGAACTGGCCATACCACGAAAACCAGAACGTGCACGAGATCGTCCTCGAGAACTCATTTTTTATCGATCGATAATTTTTACAAAATTTACAAGATCGATTCTGATTTTAAATGTTTTTTTTTTGGAAATCGAAAAGCGTTTTTCGCTCGCTCACACACACATTCAAATGAAAATCGAATATTCGAAATGAAATAAAGTTGAATTAATAGTTCGAAAACAAAAAAAGTTCGAATCTTCGAAAAAGCAAAAAACAAAACGCAAAATAAAATGGGAAGTTGTGCGTTGTTGTGATATGTTTATATACAACTCCAACTACGTTTCCGAGAATGAGTAAAAAAAAAAATCGAATTTTTTTACAATTCGATACAAATTCATAGATGACGTTACGCGAATGCTTTCAATGACATCTATTAGCGATTTTTCATTTTTGAATTAAAATTTTTTTTTAATTTTTAAAATTTCTAATCAAAAATTTTATTTGATTTTTTTCCCGCATTCATCATTGTCATCATCATTTAATTAATATTGTATGCGTGTGTAAATTCAAAAATGAATGACAACAACAACAACAACAAAAATGATGAACCTCAAAAAAAACCAAAACCAAAAACAAACAAACCGAATTGAAACTGTACTGGACTGGATCGGGCTATTCCAATGAATTGGAACTCAACAACATCAACATCAACAACATTCATTCATTCATTCATTCATTCATTGTGATTAGTTCCATCGGATCAGCTAAACATCACGTTTCCAAAGTTCATTAAGGAAAATGATACAGTAAGTTTGTTTTTGTTTTTTTTGCCTCATTCCTATTACACTAAAGCCAGAAAAAAATATTTAATTTGAAAAACAAAATATACCGAACGACGACGAGAATGAGGAATAGGAAAAGAGAGGAAAAAAGTAAGCGACTTATTTGTTACTTAGGAGAGAGCAAGAGAGAGAGAGAATTAATTCCATTTATACACAATGTATCCATCTATCTATCTAGTTTTGGAACAAAATTCAGAAAGAAGAAAGAAAACATTCGAAATAAATATTGTCGAGATATGATTATTATTATTTTTTTTTTCTGGTTTTCCATTGATTACGATGACAATTTTTTCCATTTTCCACTGGATACTGGATTAAATCATCATAATGATCTGATCAGCAAGATGATGATGATGATCGAAATTGTCATACCCTTTCATTGTTCAAAGATATCTATGATCTGGGATATGTTTTTTTTTCTTCTATAGGGAAAAATTTTTGTCTGCAAATTATCAAAAATCATATATCGATTGTCGGATAGATTTGAATGTATTATATATTTTGACAAAATAATAATGGAATTTGTAGAAGAATTTTTGTTTTCCATGGAAAAAAGAAGAAGTTTTATCATTAAGATTAATCATTTACTATTTTCGTAGGAAAAGAAAAGAAGAAAAGAAAAAGAATGTAACAAACAAACAAAAATAAGTAGAAATAGCCATGTGTGTGGATGTAATTATGGAAAAAGAATATTCTTTCGATTTAACAGAAATATATATTTTTTTTCTTTCTTTGCTAATCAAATATTATTATTATTATTATTATTTTCTTGATAAATAAATCAATCATTTAAACATTTATTGATGATGATTTGATTGTTCAATTTATTTTTGCATCTTTTTTTCATATAATATTCATAATAATAATCATCATAATCATAATTGACAAAAATCAAATCAATAGATGGATGAACATGACCAGAATATTCTAAATCATTATTTTTTGTTTGTGTTAAATACATGGTGTATGATAAATAATGGAGAGATGAAAAAATATTACATATAACGATTGATTACATATATACACCGATCGATCGATCGATCCAATCGATTGATCGATTGATGATATAAATCACTGACATAGTGTATAGTGATGTATGTGATGCAGTATAAAGAAAATATTTTTCTTCAAATTCTTGTTTTGAACAACAAAAAAATGTTGTCAACGTAATTTACATCGAATACCAATAATAATCTTCTAGATATACCCTATAATCAATTTTTTTTTGTCTGCTTCATGTCTTATGTTTTCTTGGTTGGTCTTATTTTCTTTTTTTTCTTTATTTTTTTTGTTGTTTGTTTGATCATAACAACAAAAAATATTAGATTAAGATTGAATGTACATCAAGTCCAAGTAATCCATGTTCAACATTAACATTGTTAACAACAAATAATCATAATGGTAATAGAATAATGATGACGGATGATGATAATAATAATGATGACGGTGATGATCAACAAGATGTCCATAATATTAATAATAATAATGATATTCACGTAAAAACTATTTCTTATCAAGAAATGTTTCCTATTAATTATTTGTATAATAATGATTATGATAATGAAATTGATACATCAACATCATCATTATTGAAACATCGACAAAATGATAAAAATCATGGGATTTTTTTCCGAACAAATTGTCGTCAACAACAAAAACAACAACAAAATGAACATTCGAATCTATTTCAACCTAACCATAATAATCGAAATTCAACAACAACAACATTGTTAGCATTATCGAATAAAATTATCTACATGTTTCAAGTGAAAGCCGATGATGATCAAACACAATTGTCATGTATTGCTAATAATCCAATGATAACAAATCATGGTAAGAATGTTGTTGATGTTGGTGAGAGATTAAAAGAAATTTCTTTTCCTTCCTCACTTGTTTTTTTTTCTGACGATTATTAATCAACATAATGAATTCAGGCAGATTATCTTTATCATAAATATTTATTTTCACATTTTACCAGTTCCAAAATTCCAGTTTTTTTTGTATCCCGTTAAAAAAAAATGAAATATTTCTTTTGACAAACAAAAAACTTCTTAAATCCTTGATGCTGTAGAAATTAATGTCTTTTTTCTCTCTCTATTTCCCTATGCTTTTTTGCATCTTTAATTTATCGTTGAATATGGATATGGTGATTCAATATTTAACATGGACGAACCTAAAAAAAATATCAAATCTTGTCACTTGGTTGTTGAATTTTTTATTATTATGATTATGATGATGATTATAATATACTCTTCTTCGACTATTTCAACATCAAATGGCCATAATAATAATAATAATAATAATTGTTATGAATACCATATTGAAAATGAATTACAAACACACATCATAATTTATCTTTGTAAAATTATAAATGGTACTTAACGAACAACAACAACAACAACAAAAGCCATACGTTTGGATAGAATATTAAATGTTCATTGTAAGTAATAGTAAATTTTTTATGCATCTATAGATTAATTTCCATAAACCCTGTTTCAAAAAAAATTTGATTTATTTTATCATTAATCCCATCCTATTCGTTTTCGTTTTCGTTTATTTTTTAAATATTCAATTAGATAAACCAAAATTTTTAAAAATATCCGAAACAATCGAGCTAAATGAATGGGAAAATTTTCAGCTAAAAATTCTATTATATTCAAATCCATCAATCGATTCAATACGTATGGATCGTATTGAAAAAATGAATGATAATACTATTTTAGATCGTATTCTTATTTCTATTCAACCGGATATATTATTGAATAATTTAAAATGGGAAAATATTGTTGATTATTTAAAACCAATTCCATTGGAATGGCATTCAAAATTATCATCATCATCATTATCGAATAATCATAGTAGTATCATAACCTTGGATATGATAAATGTAACAAGAAATGATTATGGTCTTTATGTTTTACGTACGGAAAATTCTGTCGGTTATTCATTAATGTTTATCCGGTTATTTATACGATGTAAGTTGAATAAATTTTGACATTGAAACTTGTTTATATCAACATTTTTTTTTTGAAATTAATTTTAATCAATGAAAAATTTTTTTGCAGCCATTTCTTCTATCGATATGATTCGTGTGATAGTGCCTAGAAAAACAACTGTGATGAATCAATCGATCAATAATATTATCAAATTAGATAATAATAATACACAGATTGAAATAATTGAATTGATTGAAAATAATGATCGAAATTTTCGTATCGAATGTAATGTTAATAATGGTAATCCATCATCAATAATTCGTTGGACGAAACAATTTTTTAGTAAATATTTACAACGACGACAAATTCAAATTCAACAACAATCAAAATTGATTAAAAATCCAACGAATGATCAACATTATTATTATCATTCGAATCAACGATTGAAAAATATGCCTTACCTTTATGATTACGATGATTATATTGATGATGATATTGATTATATTAATTTTTTAATTAATTCAAATTTACAATCAAACGATATGTTTATCGATTGGTCACGTTCAAATGTTACACAAACAATTTTATCGAAAAATTCTCGCCAACAAATTGCAAATTCAGCAAATAATAATAATCATCATAATACAAACTATAGTCATTATAATAAAAGTTTATCAATACATTCTGAATTGGCAATAAATCAAGTAAACTTTGCCGATTCCGGTATCTATACATGTCATACATTGAATGATAGCCGTTCAATAGCCATACGTATTCGACATCGTCCAAGAATATTTGTATCAAATAATCTTAAAAAAATAGCCGCCAATATTGGTGAAATTTCGGTAAAATTTGTTTGCTCAGCATTGGCATATCCAAATGTTTATTTCAATTGGACAAGATACATTTCTACTATTAATGATGATGTTAATGTTGTTGTTGATGGTGGTGGTGGTGGTGGTGGTGTTGATAATAATAATGCTGATGATGATGAAATTCAACAACAACAACAAAAACAAAAACAACAACAATCATCAATGATAGTTATCAATAATAGTGATGATCATTTGTCGAATAAATATCGAGTGATTCTTCCGTCAACAGAATCATCATCATCAACAACAACGGAATTGGAAATGATAATCAAAAACTACCATCATACAAGTGAATTAATTATTAATCATCTAAATGAAAATGATTATGGTATCTATGAATGTATTGTTTATAATGAATATGGTAATGATTATCAACGATTCGAATTGGTTAGAAAAAGTATGTTTGGTAACAAAAAATTTTCATTAATTTTCTAATTAATTGATGCCATTAATGATTTTCTTTTGCCATTTTTTTTTGTTTGAAAATGAAAATTAGGCTATCCGGAATGTCCGAAAAATTTACAGATTTTAAATCGAACAAATCAACAAATATTTTTACGATGGAATTCTGGCTTTAATTATGGCCATGAACAATCATTTACAATACGGTTATGGCCTTTACATTCATCAACAACAACAACAACAAATTCTAATACCATTACTGATGATGATGATGATTATGATGGTGTTGGTGATAATAGTAATGCTGTTGTTGTTGTTGATGATGATGATGATGATGATAGCATCGATTCTGAACAACCAAATTCTAATAGTCAAATATTTGCCAACATCAGCAATAATTATTTTCAACTACAAAACCTTGAACCAAATACTCATTATCGTTTATTGTTATGGGCTACGAATCGTTTAGGTCGTAGTCGAAAATCGTTACAACTAACATTCCAAACTTTATCCACTAAACAATATCAACAACAACAACAACGACGACAACAACAGATGCAAAATTTTTGGAATAAAAATAGCCATCATCATCATCATCAACATCAACAACAGCAACCGATAAAACCGTTATATGCTGCATCGGCTGATGAACAACGTTTAAATGGTTTAATTATTATTAATGATAATGATTTAGGTGGCAATGATGATGGTGTTGATACAGCTGCATCACAATCATCATCATCAACAATCATTGATGGTCATCGTTTACAGAATCGTCGTTTAGCAATGGTTGTTGGTGAAGATTTTGTTGAATTTACTATATTGATGGGTGGTTTAATTATTTTTCTTGCAATCATATCATTCATAATGGTTATTTTTATCTATTGGCGTAAAAGAAATAATGATCATCATCATCAACAGCAACAGCAATCGAATAACAACAATAAAAAAATCAACAACGATATGATGATCAATGATAATAAAATTAACGAAACTGAACAATCTGAAAATGTTTATAATCATCATCATCATCGTCATAATCATACAACTGACAACAACAACAACAACAACAATGATCATTCAACAAGATTAATGATGATGATTAATCATCATCATCATCATCAACATCCGGATAATGATTTACATTCGAATACAATTGATCCATCATCATCATCATCATCCGTTGATGTCAACAATTCTGCTACAACTTATCATATAATCAAAACAACCAATAACAATGATGATGATAATGATAATAATATTTGTAATGAATTACAGCAATTGACAGCTACACCAATATTAACATCACCACCAACATCATCGATAGCAATGAATGATTATTTAAATCATTCACATTTACATCATCATCCAAATCATTTGAATTATTATAATAATGAACCAAATGGACATCATCATTATTTAACGATTGCTACATCAAATGATCATCATCACCATCATCATCATCATCCAACACAATTGGAACAACAACAACAATATGAATTTCCATATGAATTAACAACAGCAACGATTAATGATAGCCAAACAAATATTAATTCTCATCATTCATATCATCATAATCAACAAACTGGACATTTAATAGAATCATCATCATCATCGATGAATAATCATAATCAATCATTGGATAAACAATTACAATATGTACTTTCACATCAACAGGTAATTTAGAAATTTATCAAGTTTTTCCACTCTAAATAATGAGAATGAATGAGAAAAATATTTTTACATAGAAAAATGACTGCAGAATTCAGAATTGTTGTTGTTGTAAATTCAATCCAATTGTCAGAAAAAATTTTCCTTCATTTATTCATCATCATCATCATAAGGAGGATTATCAAATTTTGTTTGATTGTGTAATGTTATTAATTTTAATTATTAACATTTCCTGATTATAATCAAAGAGAGAAACATTTCCATAGAAAAAAAGTTACATTTTAGAACAAACAAAAAACCAAACAATATTCATAATTAATTTCAATTTTATGAATATATTTTCGGTTGATTTGTTTTGAAATGAAATGATAAAAAAAAAATGTCAAAATGTCGACCATGTTTCCAAACATCAAACTTATTCATTCATTCAATTCAGTTCAGTTTTGTTTATTCCAACAAAATCCGATCATATTCAAAATGCGAATGAATAAATTATTCTCAGATTTATTTTTTGACTTTGATTTCATGTCCATCAAATATTAATAAGTGGAAAACAAAAATTCGAATATATTTTCAATGAGATTTTCGTTTGTTTTTTTTTCGCTGTTGTTTCGAAATCAAAATTCATCATTTTATAATAACTTTTGATCATTGAAAATTGGAAAATTTCGAATTTAAATTTTTGATAAATTTTGTTTGTTTTTCGTTTGTTTTTTAAGTTTCAAAACCCAAAGATGTGAAACAAGATACATTAGATTTCTTCGTTGAAATTCAGGAAACTGTGTGTGTGGGTGAACATAGTGTTATTCTGGCCCAAATTTTTTTTCCTTACTGCCAAATTAATTAATCTTTTGTCGATCGTAAAGATTTTCTTTTTCTTTTTCTTTTCTTCACTTGATAATTATCATTTTGCAAACTTTAAAAGTGATGAAAAAAGAAATAGAATTTCTGGCTTTCCTCCTACACACATATGCCATTCTTTTTTGTCGCTTTAGACAAATTTTTCTTCACTTTTTTTTGGCTTCCCATAAGATTCGGTTTTTTTTCGAGACGACGACGACGAAACTTTTGAAAAAATTTCCTTTAATCCAAGACAACCAGCCATATATAAAATGATGGTGGTGGTGGTGGTGGAAAAAAATCGAAAAACATTCATTCATTTCATTTCATTTCCATTTGAAAATCTAATTATTTGATCATCCTTTTTTTTCGCTATAGAAAAAAATCGTTTTGCTGTTGTTGAATAGACTATTTTTTTTAACACTCTCGCACATTCAATTCCGGGCTTTCTTTCTTGCTTCTTTTCATTACATTTAATGATGAGCCAATCTGGTTATCCACACACACACACTCACTCACGATGATGATGAGCTTTAGCCATTATTTTAATCAAGTTTTTTTCCCGTCATACTTAAAATTGAAGAGAATTTTATCGTTTTTTTGTTTTGTTTTATATCCGGTTTTTTTTCCTGCAACATTCGGGCTTTTTTATTATGCCGGATTTTAAATGAAAAAAAATCCTTGTCATTGTCAATGTGTTTGTGTGTGTGTATTTTGTCCATTGAATTGAACCAAAAAAAAAGAAGCAAAATATAATCGCGGTAGTAAGTAAGTAAGTAAAGAAAGAAAAAAAAAAGCTTCTAAAAAAGATTTAAGCCGAAAATGATGAAAATTTTTCCAGAATTTTTTTTTTTGCTGCTTTCAAAAGAATCTTTCGACAAGCTTCAATGAATTTTCGTTAATTTTTTCTTTCTATCAACATTCTTTTAATGTTGACCTTCAGTTTGTTGTTGTTGGTAGCCCATTTATCATTAATTTCATTTTCATTTTCATTTCATTTTTTTATCATTTCATTTAAAATCCATTTATTTATTTGTCATCAATAATAAGTCGATGAAGAATGTCTGCTTTGCTTGTGTGTATGAATAAGGAAAATGGATTGAACAAAAAAAAAATTCGGGTAAATGTAACAAGAACAACAGCAACAGCAAAAATTTGTCTGAAGAAAATGGAATCCCATCATCATCATCATCGTTTTTTAGTTCATTAGATTTATTTTTGTTGCTGGAAAACATTTCCCACTTTATCTATTATATAGGAAATGTAGAATGAAGAAGAAAATGGGAAAAAAATGTTTCAATTTTTTTCCACCTCCACCTCCACACACACACTGGAATTGATTTTGATAAAGTTTTTCTTCTTCTTTTTCACTATCAAATCATTATACGATTTGTTTTCATTTGGATTTCCAAAAAAAAGAAAAAAACTTGAAAGTTTCAATGTAGTTATGAATTGAATTGAATTGATGAAATGCAAAAATTTACTGATCTTCATCGAAGATTTTGTTGAAAAAGTTTTGTTGCAAATTTTAAAACTATGACTGATTCGATTTTCTTTTTTTTTTTTTTTTGATCCTGGATCATTTGTATGTGTTTAAGTGTTGATTGACCATTTTGAAAAGTTTTGTTAAAAAGTTTTTTTACTTTACAGAAAAGTTTTTCCCAAAAAATTAATTGAATTTTTCTTTCTTTTATTTTTTTAGATAACAAATGTACATTTATTACCTGATCGATTGGAACAATTGACAATTGATTCATCAATATCACCACCATCATTATCATCATCATCACCATCATCATCACATTTGATTAATAATAATGATCAATCGATTCAAATGGCTTCGGCAGCTACATCATCTTTACCTGCAACATATCAGATTAGTTTTGCACCAACATTTCATACATATGATGATCATCATAATCATCATAATGATGGTACTACATATGAATTACAATCACCATCAATTTGTGGTAATGATGACCATCATCATCAACAACAACAACAACAACAACATTATCGATTCAATACAATTCAATCGGATAATTCAATAATGATAACAACAACACCGACAACAACAACAACAACAACGAATAATGTAATGCCATCAAAAGTTTCATTTATTGAACCAAATAATAATTGTTTATCATCATCAACGAAACGTGTAAAAATTATTCAAAATTCTACAATATTATCACCATCGACAACATCGACAACAAAATCGATAATATCCAATCCTCCATCGACAACAGCAACAACATTGGCAACATTAAATGAAGAAGATGGAGATGAAATTTAAAAATTTGTTGTTATTTTGTAAATTAATAAAATTTGTAAAAAAATAAAATTATATTTTGCAAAAACTACTTGAATTACTTGAAATAATGCTCATCAATTTTAGAAAATTTCCCTTGTAATTTCGATAGAATTTTCAGTTTTTCTTTTTCTTTTTTCCGAATTTCGATTTTCAGTTTTCGATTTTTTCCCCGAAAAAACAGTAATTTGAAATTCCAATTCACTCATGACATGTACACATGAAATACACATCCAACCAGCTTACCAAAAAAAATAGAAAAATATCCGAGCTTTGTATATGTAAATTTATCGAATTTTGAAAATAAAAAAAAATATTTTATTTTATTTTTTAATCAACGTTGTGTGTAAATAGTAAATATGATGATCAAATGTAGAATTTAAAAAAAATGTTAAAATGTTTAAAATGTGCATTCATTCAATCATTAGTCAGATTAGGTTAGTTTAGTTTAGTTAATTAGTTAAGAATATTCAATCATTTTTTTTCATAAAATTCTGTGAACATTTTTTGAATTTTTAAATATATTTTTTTCTTTCGTAAAAATCAATTTAAATTGATATTTTTGTGTGTTTGATTCGTTTAATTCTTTTTTGGAGAAAAAAAGTGGAGATCAAAACCTTGGTTTCTTGGTTCTGGTTATTTTTTTTTCTTGGTTATTTTGTATGTAATTTTGTTAGAGTTTTTCATTTTTTTCGTTTTCGATTCAATGTAATTAACGACCAACTAATCGTACACCCGATTGTGATGGACGAAATTGTTGCGGTAATGTACCGGATTGTTGTTGTGATGATGGTCGGGAATTTTGTCCACCATTATCATTACCACCTGGTTTTACGGGTAAATCATCATCATCATCTGGTTGTGGTGTTGTTGGTGGTGGTTCACTAATTTTTTTGAAAGAACAAAAAAACAAATCAATTTCAATTTTTTTTCTTCAATTCTACAATCGATTAAAAACAATCGATACTATCTAAATCACTTACCATCCGGGTACTGTTTGTGCTAATTCACATTTAAATGTATTTGTATTCAATGCTAAACCGGCTGGACAACGTTGTAAACGTGGATAACCACCAACACAAAGCCAATAACGTACACAGCTTTTTTCTATTGGTACGGCACCATTTGGTGTATCTTTACATATTGCTATTTGAAAATGAAAAAAATGGAAAGAATTTTCCAAAAATTAAATGAAAAATAACCATTGAACATCATTAATTTCAAAACAAAACTAAACTAAACTAATGATTTGAAAATAAAAATTCAATTAGCTACAATTAATTTTCTGAAATCGAAAAAAATTCCTTCTAATTTCTAATTTTCTTTCTAACCGATTGATCATAATGAGAACAGAATCAAAGATCAGAAATCCGTAAACATTTTCATTTTTGTTTTTTCTTTCTCAATTATGAAGATTAGTTTGCAGTTTTTCTGGTTTTCTATTTACCGAATAAGAATCATAATATGGGGGACAGAACAAAATAGCAAAAGAATTTTTATTTCTCATTTTTTTTTTGTTAAAATACTTACGATGTTTTTGACAATCGGGTACATTATCCGGCCAATCACAAGCATGTACAGCATCATTATAAAGTAATGAAAATGGACATTGTTGTATTGTTGATGTACCATTCCAACAATGCCAATATCTTGTACATGATGTTGCATGTGGAAATACACCATACTGCCAATGACAGTTTTCACTTGATATTGGTTGTTCTAATAATAATAATAATTGTTTTATATTTTTATTTTTATTATCATTAATATTTTAATAATAATAATAACCGAAGAATAACCGAAAAATAACCGAAAAAAGTAATAACCGAAAAATGGAAAAAATGGGTGTATGTTTAGTTTGCGTTGGTGGGAATATCATTTTCATTGAAACAAATTGAAACAAATTTCATTTTTTTTTGTCCAATTTGATCAGGATAAAGCATTGGCCGTATTGTTGTTGTCGGTTTGTTTGTTTGAAACGAGAGAAATAAAAGACAAAATTAGATTAGTTAGTGAATTGTGTTAGTAGAGAATGGTAGAAAAAAGTGTTTAAAAATCAAATTAACTTACGTCCCATAACACGTGCACCATCCGGACATCCAGCACGATGTGGATAATCGCAATTACTATTCAAACCTTTTTGATGTCCAGCAAATGCTAAACCGTTTGGACATGATTGTACAATTGCTTCACCATTAATACATTCATAATAATAATCGCAATATTCTTCATGTGGAAACATTGTACGTTTACCATTTTTACATAATTGTTGTGCATTTGGTCCAGCACGTGCTTGTGTTGAACCTATTGTAATCGAAAATAATGAAAAAAACAATACAAAAAAAGGATTAAAAATCAAAAATCAAAAATCAAAAATCAAAGTTCACAAGTTCACAAGTTTACATCATCATCATCATTTTAATAAATTATTCTTAACATCATGGCTTTCTTAACACAGTGTTTCCGTTTCCGAGTTTCTTTCATTTTTGAAGTTTCTTATCATCATTAATTTTTTTTCATCATTTTGTTGTGGATTATCAATTTAAATATATATAGATTTGCACAGAGTAAATAAAAATTTGCTTATTATCCATTCAGTTTCACGATAATAATGTGATGATAATATTTCATTAAGTACAAAAAAAAAATGTTATTTACATCCGTAAAATGCAAAAAAAAAGTAATGGAAAAGGATGCTCAACAACAACAACAACAACAACGAAAAAAAAATGTTTCAAAAATTCAAGGAAACGGAAGAAACGGATTTCTATTCTATTTTTCTTTCATTGATTCAGGATATATTTTGTTGTTGTTGGTTGGTTGGTTGGTTGTTGATGAAATTTTCTTCTTTCTTTTGGTTCGATTCAAACATTAATTATCATGTCACATGATGATGGAATAGATTCTAGACGATAGAAAAAAAAAATTTGACTTTTCCTCACCACCACCACCACTACATCTAATCATTGATTAGGGCTATTGAAATAACCAAACAACAAAAAAAGTATAAATTAATTTTGTTTGTTTGTTTGCTTTCTTTTTCTCCGATGTAAATATCGATTATTAAGAATGCTAATTATACGAAAAATAAATAAATAACCAACAGCCAAAGTGAACAAGATTTTGATTACTTTGTTGTTGTTGTCGTCTGGATGTGGATGGATCATCATCATCATTTGGAAAACCATACTACAATCAACGACGACGACGACGATGATGATGACAGAACAACAGAATATCGATCGAATCATGAATGAATGAAAACGATCGATCTTTGAATATCTTTTCAATGTTACACTGAGAGAGAGTGAATCAACCAAAAAAAGTCACCAAAGAAAAAAAAAACCCAAATAAATGAGTGTAATTACATCACACCAACACTTTCTTTCTCTCTCCTATTTTTGGATCCTTTACTTTCCTTTTTTTCTGGTTTAGTTTTTCACAAACAGAATCTTCAAATGACTATGATGATGATAATAAAAATGATAACAGCATAAGTTTCACATCATCATCATCATCATCATGGAAATGATGTTTTTGTCCGTCGATAATGTTTATGATGATGATCGAAAGTTTATTTATTTTATTTTCAAATACGAAAGAAACAAAAAGAAAAACTTTTTCGGTTATTTAGTTGTCGTTGTTTTTACTTTTTGGTAATACGACTTTTGCTTCTGTGAATCTTAACTAAACTTATTCTGTCTGATGTTGTAAAGTGGTAAGAACGTGGTGGTGTGAAATGTTACGAATAAAATAAGTGTCAAATGTATAGAGAGAGGAAGAGAGAATAGTTCCTGGAAAAGAAATTTTCTTGGTAAAGAAAAAAATCTATTATGGAAATTTTCTTTTCAAAAATCTATTTTCTTTTCTTTTCTTATTTATTTTTTTTTTGTCTTTCAATGAAAATTATTGGACAAATTTTTTTGTTTTTTTGGTTTAGTTATTCAACTAAATCCCCTTCATTTTTACTTCTTTCCCCATCATCATCATCACCATAACCATAACCATCATTATTAACATCACCAAAACACATTGAAAATTGAAAGAAAAAATGGCCTGTTAATGATCATGATGTGTGTGATCATCATCATCATCATCATTGGATGCCGTCAAAAAGAATAGGGCTACTAATTATTCTTCATGGGCAACATTTTTGGAACTGAAATCGTTATTTTTATTTTTTTTTGAGAGGGGTTAACAAGGGGAAAAAAGAAAACCTAAAGAATGAACTCTATGTGTGTGTGTGTGTTTTTCGGTAATATATTTTTACCATGTTTCACACACATAAAATGAAATGATTCTATAGAAAATCTTTCTGTTTTCGGTTATGTTGTGATCTCTGATCTTTCTGTTATTCAAAAAAGAAAAGAGAAGAAAAGAAAAGGGGGTGTGTAAGTGTGGGCGATTTTCTTCTTCTTCCATATCATTATTACTATTTACACCCATCCATTCTCTCTGTGTGTTTAGACATTATCATTTTTTTTACTATAGTCGTTGTTGTTGATAATGTTGATGTTGTTATTGCTTTCATCATCATCATCATCATCATCATAATACATTTCTTATCATATTCATCTCTAAACATCATGACTTTGGATATATTTTCTTTACTTTTTGCTTTTTTTTCCATTGTCGTTTATTGTCGTTTAGTTTGATTTTTTTTTTATTTGGTTCATTTCATTTCACACAATAGTCTAAGATGAACTCGATCATTGTTTCAGTGTTTTTTTCTTCTTCTTTCTTTTTAGTTATTTATTTCTATATAGATTCTCAATGAATCGTTATCATTTAATGTCAACCGTGTTAGATTTTCTCTCTCTCTCTCTCTCTCTCTCTCTCTCTTCTTTGTTTCTGGATCGATCCTCATTTATCGTTATGAAACAAAAGAAAAAAAATAAGAAAATTATGAACCTTAATAACCGGACGACATTATTATTATTATTATTATAGAGAATCCATAGACAAAGCAGATTTTTTTTTTGTCAATTGAAAGAATTCTCAATATGGTTAAATATTGACTGTCCATTCAGTTTATTTTTGATAAATTTAGAATTTCAATAAAAAAAACAAACGGAAAAAACAGCACTTACCAATTTGTATTTCGCCAAGAATTATGGCCAATGAAAATGTTGCTATGTAAAATTTCATAATTTTTTTTTTGTTTTTCTTTTTGGTAATGTTCTGTTTGGTTTTTTGGTTTTACAAATTTGTCTATTCAATTAATTGTTTCACATTTAAATTTTGAAATTGATGCAAACAGTGACCATACAAAGAATTTTATTTAAATTACACTTTGCTATGACAACAACAAACAAACAAACAACAAACCACAGAATGAACTAAATATATTTTGAAAACATTTTCTTTTTTTCACATCATAATAATTTCTGCAAAATAAACTTGGTATTTTTAAATGATTTTTTTTTCATTTTATGTTTGTGGTTTTAATATACGATGTCTGTATATATGAATGGTTCGTAAGAGAAATTTTACGAGAAAAAAAATGAAAGAGAAAAAATTTTCCCGAAATAAAGAAACAAGAAATAGATAAATGAAAAGTTTCTTTCTCTTTCGCAGTTAGTCATTTTCTTATCCGTTTCATTTTTCGAGAATTTGTTTCTCTCATTTCTTTAACATAGAAACAAGTCTTCTTTCTTTTTTTTGGTGATTTGAATGGGAAAAAAGACTTGTTTTTTCTGTTGTTTAATCTCGGGCCATCATCAAAGGCCGGGCGTCAACATCGACATCTAGACAACAACAACAACAACAACAACTAAAATATAAATAAAAATAAAATTCGGGGCATCTGGGCCATTTTTTTTTTAAATGAATTTTTTTTCTGGAATAAACGAACAAGATTGCAGACAAACAGACAAAGACATCTTTATCTGATCAACTAAAAAAAATTACATATATTTTGGCTACATTTTGACCTACAATACAAACCACCACCATCATTGATGATGATGAATAAACGTTGTTGTCCATTGATCTTATCACGTTAAAGATGTAGTGTGGAAAACAGAAAATCTTTTACTATGGCCAATGTGATGATGTTATTTGTCAAATTTTGTTTTTTCTTGGTACATTCAAAGAAAAAAGTAGAACGCACCATTCTTCATTCATCATTGCACACACACACCCTGTATTTTAAAATTTAAAAGAAAATTTCTCTTTTTTTTCTCATGAATCTTGTTGTTGTTGTCAATTAGTAATGTTTTAACAACAACAACAACAACAACAAAACGTGAGAAAATTTTATTGGAACACAAAAAAAAATTCAATCACTTTCTGATTGTTTTTTTAGTTTTGGCGTTCATCGATCCAAATAAACTTGGTCGGGATGATGATGATGATAGTGGTGGTGGTTTTTTTTTCTGAATTTTTAATGATGGGAATAGAAAATGGAATGAATCCGTTATCTAGAGCAGATTGATGAACTTTGTTTGTTCTATTTTTGGATCTTTCTCACTTTACCCGCAGATGATATTCATGTTATCATCATCATCACAATTTCGGTAATCATCATCATCATCATCGGTGGTTTTCTTAGCATAAAAAAAGCCAGTTTTTTCCGCTCCAAATCACGATGGACAAGTAAAATTTGAGTTTTTTTCACTTTTTTTTCGCTGTCAATCAATCAATCAATCTTGAAAAATCATTTGCCAAAAAAAAAGGTGTGTGTGTTGTTCGTGTCAAACAGATTTGTCAGTCAGTCAGATTCGACAAGACACCTTTTTTTTTGATTTTTATCCATCAAAGATCAACGAAATTTTTTTTCTGATTAAGTTCAAATCAGTTTTCGGTCATTTCAAAAAGAAAAAAAAGGGAAATCAAAAATAAATTTCAATTTCATTTTGCAAACAAACAAAAAAAAAATTGGTTCATTTTGAAATCGAAATTACTTGCCTACACCCACTCAAATGGTCAAATACACTGTGGTAATAATAATAACTGCTAAATATAGCAGGTCAGGTCAGGCCAAGAACATCTTGATTGCTATTTCTACACAAGTATCTTTTTTTTTTAATTTTAGTTTTCAAAATAAGAAAAGAAATGCAAAAAAAGAGTTAATTTTTAATTAATGAAGATCATCAACATTATTATAAATAATGAAAATCTATCTTTAGATTTTTCTTTAATCTAAAACAACAACAACAAAACTTGGCCAAGTTGTTTATCTTATCTCATCTTATTTTGTTTTTTTTTATTTCAGGAGAGATGATATCTTTCATCTCAATGTTTATGATGATGATGATGATGATGATTCTAAATTTGGTTCTAAATTTTTTAACCAGAAAAAAAACATACATCAAGTTAATGATGGTAATTATTATAATTTTAGAATGATAATTATCATCCATCCATTTGAATCCATCAACCAACAACAACAGTGTTTGAAAACAATGAGGTCATCGGCACAATTGGCACGTATTCTGTGGTATTTTAAATTTTGAAATTTTGTTTAAAAAACAAAATTTCGAATCGAACCATGATGACACCGGAACAAATGAATTTCGCAACAATTTATTATTTCATTTGTCATCAATTTTGGTCAAGTGAAAATTTGAAAATTTAAAATGTCAACAATGTCTTTTCACACATTTCAATAATAAACAACAACGACAGCAAATTGAACTTGTTTTGTACACAATTTTCCATTTTCGATTTCGATGAAATCAAAAATGAAAAAATCAACAATAACAAACAAACAAACAACAACATGGACACTTTTACCACATAATTAATCATTCTTTACATTCAATTTTTTTTTTGTTGTTCATTCACATTTTGAAGAAGAAGAAGACGAAAAAAAAGTGGTACAACAAGAATTATTATCACACCATTCAATGGATGTTTGTTTGTTTGTTTGGTTTGTTCGTTATGATCATTTGTTATATTTTTTTTCACCATTTCCATTTTACCAATGTTGAAATAAAAAGTCAAAATAGTGATATGAAATTGTCCACACACACATATCTTTCACAACACATATCAATAAGTGAATCTTGAATCCCCGGATAAGAACTAAAATTCAATGGTCCTGGAAATTTCGCAATCTCTCTCTCTCCCTTTTAGACACTTTGATAACGTCACAACTTTTAAAAAAACCATCCATTTTCAAAAGTAATGAACCAGATGAGAAAAAAGATGAATGAATCATTTGTATAAATCGAATAATAATATTGATAATCGAATGTGTGAGCTGTGCTCATTTTTTTGTTGTTGAAATACCTATTCCAATATGAAACACTTATATGGGTCGATATAGTGAAATTTTTGAACATTCGAAAACATCCGGTTTTTTTGTCCATCATTCGATTTGCGAAAATTTTTCATTAAAATTGAAACTTGAACAACAAATTTCCAATATTTTTTCACCATTAAAAATCATGATTGATTGATTGATTGATCTATTGATTGTTCGTTCTTCATCATTTTATTCGCATATAAATACGATTGAATAATATTTATTTATTTATATAAATGTTTCATGAGTAAAATGGCTGACAAACTCAAATATATTTAACACACTTTATATGTGTTGTTCTTGTGCAAACATTTTATGAGGATAATTTTTGTTGTTGTTGTTGTTGAAATTAAATAATTTATTCATGTTATTCAATGTGTGTGTGTGTGTGTGTGTGTTAAAAGGGCATAAATTTTGCATTGAATTCAAAAGAATTCTTTCGATAAGTTTTTTTTTCCTATTCTCACTAAATGGTACAGATTTCTCTCTGAATTTCAGATTTTTTTTCAAATATTCTTTTGTTTCGATTCTTATTAATCGTTTTTCTTATTAAATGACGATTATTAACATAACGGTTTTGGTCCATTTAATCGATTATAATAATTACTGTTGTTCGATGTGGATAAATGTCCATCGAATTAAATAATCTTAATTCATGATAATTCAGACAGGGATAATAGGATCTGGATCATCGATTTCATTTATAAAATTATCATTATTATTATTATTATTTCATAAAGATCATTGTTTGAATGTTAAATAGCAATAATTTGCTGCAATCGGTCAAGATTAATATCCGTCTGGCAGAATTTTGCATCAAGAATAAAAAAAAATCAAAAAAAATATCCAATAATGAATAGCATGGTGCCATCTATCGTCGGCTCATATTTTGAAATGACTTCACTGAGAAAAAAGTGCTGGAGTTTAAACTCCAGAATAAACTCCAAAACTCGTCAATTCGCTGAGTTTTGGAGTCTAAACTCCAGTTATGGGATCTATTTTGGAGTTTAAACTCCTGATTGTACAGTCGTCCCTCGTATAACGCGGTTTCGATATACTACGCAGAACGACAAAACCGCGTTATACGAGGGACGACTGTAGCTTATTAATGAAGTTTAAACTCCAATAATTTCTTCTCAGTGTAGGCAAATTTTGGAGTTTACAATCCTGTCATGGAGTTTAAACTCCAATTTTGAAAATAAACCTCATGATTGGAGTTTAAACTCCAGCACTTTTTTCTCAGTGTTGTAAACATTTATCAAGATCATTTTGTATTATTGGAAAACCGAAATGATTACAAAACTTATCAGATTATCACCTTATTTATCCAAACCATCGAATTCAAGACAATTATTCGAATGGCTAAATGCTATTTTCAATGCGTAAGTTTTAAATTTTAATAATAATTTCTATTCATATTGATTTATTTTTTCAAATAAAGTGTTGATAGGAAACGAATCGAAGAATTAGGACCGAATAGAGCTGCAGCCGAATGGCTTATACGGAATGGTGCTGCAGTTTTTTGGTCATCACAAAAAGATTGTAATTTCAATGATTATGATCGATTAATCGCTAAACCAGAGGAATTTCGTGATAATTATATAATCGGTATCGATGCTACAGAATCCAGTATAAATCATGCTGGATTTGAATATCTACGTCATCTGAAACGATTATCACGAATTATATTCAATAAAACAAAATATCTGAATGATAAAGCATTGATAATGTTGAGTGAATATCAGCTTGCCGAACTACGACATTTAGAAATACGAAATTGTTATAATGTTACCGATACTGGTATTCAAGCATTGAAAGAATTAAAGTAAGTACATGATGATCATCATGGATATAATAATAATTTTGTTTTTATTCAATTCATATCATAAGATCATTGCAATATTTAAAAATGGAAAATTTGCCCTCAGTCGACAATCGAACAAAATGTGAGGAAATTTTGAAAAAATCATTATCAACATCATGCCGTATCGAATGGAATCCACAATAATCATTTTTTATATATAAATCCGTGTGGTTAACATTAGGAAGACAACACCAAAACCAATGAACAATGATGATAATGATGAGATGAATAATTCTTTAAGCATATTTCGAGATTTATTTGTCACTTCCAATATGAAAAACCATGCTATGAAAAATAATCCAAACGATATACATAATAAACTTAGATATGGTACCATTGTTACCGATACCGGTGGTACATAGCTGATTTCCATTGCCATTATTTTTTCCGGTTATTTTTCCGATTAATTATTTACTTGCTGCAAGAAAATGACGTGAGAAAATCGCGTGTCAACGAATAAAAATGTTTCGTTTAAATTTTACAAAAGACAAATCATCAAATGTACGATTCGACTATTTCAACATGATTAGTTTCTAGTCGGTCAATTTTTTTCTGGAATTTCAAATTCTATTCATTAAAATTTTGGATCAAATCTACGTTTTTTTTGTTTGTTTTTATTTCTTTCAATTAACAAAAAAAAAGTTTAATTAAGAAAAAAAGACATTTTAAAAATGATTATATTTCAATTAATTAATTATTTGATTAATTTTGAAAATGAAAATATTATTTAAGAAAAAAAAAACCATCAACGTATGAATTGGGTTTTTAATTTTGTATATACAACATATAAACAATACGCGCCTTGCCCACTGACTGTTATGCATATGCATGATGAGACCAGCCTATATGCTCGCCTTTTTTTTCCTAAAAGCTTGATCTCTCTTTGGTCTTTATTTTTACAGCAAAAAAAAAAAAAAAACTGACAGCGACCAGAAAAAAAAGAAGAGGAAAGGAAAAAGATATATGGGAAAAATTGTAACCAATAAGTTGGGTTTGGATGATTTTTGTCGCCACNCCCACTGACTGTTATGCATATGCATGATGAGACCAGCCTATATGCTCGCCTTTTTTTTCCTAAAAGCTTGATCTCTTTTTGGTCTTTTTTTTTACAGCAAAAAAAAAAAAAAAAACTGACAGCGACCAGAAAAAAAAGAAGAGTAAAGGAAAAAGATATATGGGAAAAATTGTAACCAATAAGTTGGTTTTGTATGATTTGTGTCGCCACTATAGTAATCGATTTGTTGTTGTTGTTGATGATAATGATAATGATCTGGATTTAAAAAGAAAAGAAAAGAAAAATATCCATGGATTTTTTCTTTGTTATTTTGTTTTTGGTGATATAATCATCATATGTGGTGTGTATTAGTGTATGTATTGGTGATTTTCATCATGGACATCAGTAATAAATTCATCAATCATTATGAAACATAGCTGACGATAATCAATCGATCCATCCATTCTTTCTGTCGCAATATCTTTGAAGAAAAAATATATTTTGTTTTCAAATCAGAATATGTATCGATGAAATGAAAAAAAAACAACGGCGACAACACAAATGTGTGATCGATGTATTGAATCTTAATTTTTGATCAGAAAAAAACAAACCTTGAAAATTTTTTTTTTTTGAAAATCGACAAATGTGTGTTCAATAAAAATTTGATGTCAAATTTGACATTTAATAAAATATTCTACACTATTTACTCTGAAACACACACTTACACACACACATTCCATATACAATTCATTAATATCACAAGAGGAAGAATATTCTTGAATTTCCGATTTTTTCTTTCTCTTAAATATTTATTCATCAAAAACTAAATTAATCATGTCAAGAAAATTTATATCAATATTATCCGGTACTACGTATAATGTACATGCAAATGAAATTGCAAGCGGTATGCGTCAACAACAACAACAACAATCATCAACATTACAGCTGCATCCAAATGAAAATGATCAATCATCATCACCATCGTTATCATCACCACAATCATTATTATCATCACCGAATAATTTTGGTGGTGGTGGTCGTCTGTCAAATCTATCTGCATTGATTACTGGTCGTACAATTATACCGGTACCTGAAACAATAAAATGTATTGTACATTTTCTTGATGATACTGAACATATTTTTGAAATTGATGTAAGTTATCTAGAATATTCTGTTGTTTGTTGTTATTGTTTGTTGAACAATTTTTTTTTCTATCGATACCCATAGCGTGCTGCAAAAGGTGAAGAATTAATGGATGCCGTTTTTCGTCATTTAGAATTAATTGAACGAGAATATTTTGCATTACAATATACGGAAATATTTCGTTCAACAACACAATCATCAAATGTTTATGATCAACAACAACAATATTCTAATCAAGATAATTTAAATGTAACAATGAATTGTAGCCCAGTGAATACAACACGAACAGTTTTATATAATGTAAGTTAATATTATAATTATGATTTTAATTAATCAATCAAAATAATTAATTAATCTATTGATATTCGACAGAAATGGCTTGATCCAACAAAAAAAATTCGTAAACAGATGCGTTTCTGTCAACAACCATATCTATTACATTTTCGTGTAAAATTCTATGTAACCGAAATGACACGTTTATTAGAAGAATATACACGTTATCATTTTTATTTACAAATACGTAAAGATATATTAGCTGGTCATTTATGTCAATTATCATCATCAACATTAAAAAATGATGGAAACAATTCCGAACAACAACAACAACAAAATGAAGAAGAACAGGATTCAATCATGGCCACATTAGCTAGTTATGTTCTACAATGTATGTATTGATTACATATTTTTTTTCTCAACATTAAAAACAAATTGGTTTTTCCCTCATAATTTTTCTAGCTGAACTGGGTGATTATTGTGAAGAAGAACATAGGCCAGGATATTCGAATGAATTTCGTTTTATACCAAATCAAACGGATGAATTTTGTCATAAAGTGGAATCATTACATCGTTTACATCAGGGACAAACACCGGCTGATGCTGAATTTAATTATCTTGAAGAAGCAAAACATTTAGAATTATATGGTGTTGATTTGCATAATGCTAAGGTCTGTAAATGATTATTTTTTATAAATAAAACTAATGATAATTTTTTTTTGATTAGGATTATGATAATATTGACATAAAAATTGGTGTTTCATCCAATGGTCTAGCCATCTATAAAATTATTTTAAATCCAAATAATGGTCAACAAAAATATTGTAAAATTAACATGTTTTCATGGGCTAAAATCGTAAAAATTTCCTTTAAACGACGATATTTTTTTATTCAATTAAAACATGAAGGCGTAAGCATATGATGATTTGAACATAATATAAAATAGATAATTAATTACTGTTAATTTTTCATTAATTTATTGTATATTCGAAAATAGACCGAACGATTTGATAATCTAATCGGATTTAATCTATGTTCATATCGTGCTTGTAAATCACTTTGGAAATCCTGTGTTGAACAGCATACATTTTTTCGTTTACATACACCAAAACCATTGACGAAAAAATTTTTCTTTTTCTTTTCATTGGGTTCGAAATTTCGTTATAGTGGTAAAACAGAATTTCAAACAATTGAAGAAAATCGTAGACGTTTAACACGTACTGAACGTATATTTATACGAAATACTGGTCGTAATGCAACTATGCCAGCATCGATTATAAAATCATCAACCCCAAATGGTAATGATATTAATAATCAACAACAACCAGCAAAGATAAACATGGATGCACAGAAACATATTGTTAATCTTAAATTATCAACAATTGATAGTTGTGTTACCACAACAACAGCAACAACAGTAGTAACCAATGGTAGTATGATTTATACTAATAATAAATATAATGATAAACTACGTACATCATCATCATCTCGTCAAAGTCATTCAAAACAGCAACGGAAACATTCTACAACAGCATTATCATTGATGGAATCCGATTCATTATCATCATCATCAGCATCATCATTATTGGGACCATCATCCATTATAAATGAAAAGAAAGCTCAAACATTACAAGCCTCAACAATAACAGCTAAAAATGATACAAAAACAGTATTATCATCATCATCATCATCTGGTCATCTAATTCATAATAATAATAATCAAAAACATTCGAAACGACAATCGGATAAAAAGACAATCATCATCAATAACAAAAATAATAATAATAATAATACTAGTCATTCCAATAATCATCATTCACAAAAATTTACATTCATTTCATCATCATCATCATCATCATCTACATCTACATCATCAATAGAATCATCATTTATGCCGGCAAATTTAATAGAGGACCAAAAAGTCGAAATAGAATTAGAAAATGGAACGAATGATCTCATTATCGATGATGTTGGTCAAAATGTTTGTTGTGATAACAATGAAAATGCTACCATAATGAATAAGAATATAGCCAAAGATAATAATGATAATCTAAAAATCTTAAATAGCAATAATGATAATGATCAATCGACAACAATTATAACTATCGGTAATGATCACGCTAAAATTTCAACTATAACAACAACAACAATGACAACGACAACATTCACAACAACGGCATTTACACCATCTACATTGATCTCATTACCATATATTGATTCAATATCAACAACATCATCATCGGATAAAACAATCAATTCATTAACAAATGGTACAATATTATTAGGTGATGATAATAATAGTAAAGATGTAACTATTATTACTGAAACAAGTCAAACATCAACAATAACTGAAGATATACCAAATGATAATGATACTGATATTGAATCAAAAGATCAACAACAACAATCAACATTTGATTTTGATCTACCTATACATGAATTAATCAAAGAATTATATGATGATGCAGCAGCAGATATGCCTGTTAATCATAAGAATAATGCTGATGATGTTGATTGTATAAAAGATCCATCATCAGATACTGATTCACCTATCCATGTTGTAACGGTTACAATGAAACCAGATGAACAAGGTCGTTTTGGTTTCAATGTAAAAGGTGGTCATGATCAAAATTGTCCAGTATTAGTATCACGTATATTGCCAAATACACCCGCCGATTGTGCTGAACCAAAATTACATGAAGGTGATCAAGTATTAGCCATTAATAGTGTAGAAGTATCCGGTTTGAAACATGAACAAGTTGTACAGTTAATACGTTCAACTAAAGATCTTGGTCCTGATGCTAAACTTTTATTATCAATACGTCCAAATGTTTATTATAAACATTGTCAATGTCCAAATGAAACAATAGATACTGTTGATCATGAACAGTGTAATCCAGAACAACAATCACCATTTCATTATACACCATTAAATTATTCAGTATCACCATCATCATTTATTGATGATATTAATCCAGAAGAATCTGGCGATGATGATGATGATGATGATGGTGAAAATGGTATGAAAATAGAACATACATCTTCGGTAGGATCTTCATTATTGGATACTTCAATGAATCTTTTACATGAAGGTCTACAAGGTGATTTATTAATCATACAATTTGAGGTAATTTGAATCAATGTTTATTAAATGACAAAATTAATTTGTTCATTTTTCAATAATTAGTATCTACCACGTCGTAATGAAGATGAACCAATAACAATAGCACGGTTATTGGATAATGTACCGAAAAATCGTTATCTGGATATTGCACCATGTATGATTGTTGATAATTATTTCATTATATATTTATGACAAATTTACTATTTTCTTTTCAGATGATTCAACACGTGTCATAATGTCTGAATGTAATACTGGTGATTATATTAATGCTTCATATGTAACAATGAAGATTGAAGCCAGTAATGTTGTCAATAGGTTTGTAAATCATTTTGAATGAATTTGTTTTTTTAATAAAAATCTGAATACCACCTATACACATAAATAAATAGATATATCGCAACTCAGGGACCGCTTAAACGTACTACAAGTGATTTTTGGCAAATGGTATGGGAACAACGATCAACATTAATAGTAATGGTTACACCGTTAATCGAAGATGGTAGAAAAAAATGTTTCAAATATTGGCCCGATGAAGGTCAAACAATGATTGTGAATGATTTATTGGATTTAACACTTGAAGATTGTCAGGATCGTGGTGCTTTTCTTGAACGTCGTTTCAAATTGATTGATCCGGAAAATAAGAATACACATTATATAACACATTTACAATATTTAGCATGGCCTGATCAAGGTGTACCGGATGATGATACAGATTTTCTAAAACTTATTTTCAAAGTTCGTGAACTTCGCCAAGAATCATCCGATTCACCTGTCATTGTACATTGCAGGTAATTATTCAAAGAAAAATTGTTAATAAATTAAATTATCTAACAAACATTTATCAAATTTTTTAGTGCTGGAATTGGCCGTACCGGTGTACTTATATTAATGGAAACAGGTATCTGTCTCATTGAAGCTAATCAACCAGTTTATCCATTAGAATTAGTTCGAATAATGCGTAATCAACGTGCCATGCTCATACAAACATCAACACAATTTCGTTTTGTTTGTGAAGCATTACATCGTGTATTTCGTGATCATATTGTTCGGCCATTAGATCAATATGTCATTGATAATAAAACCGATGATAATGATGATACAACTAATCCAACTGAACTAACAATTTAGAAAAATCAATATCTTGTTGGTTTTTTTTCTTTCATTGCCATTTCAAGCACAAACATAGATCATTGATGGATGACTGTAACAACAATATTTCCGTGTCAGCTATATTCCAGAGATTTTCTTTTTGCGATCATATTCTAGTTCAATTTGTGTAATTTTTTTTTGTTCATTTCCATAACATTTTTCATCTACTTTTTCATTGTTTATGATGATTTCTATCGCATTTTTTCTATTTGTGTGTCATTGATTTTTTTCTACATAACTTAACGGTCCAATCAAGTATTATTATCCATTGAATTGTAATTAGACCAATTTTTTCAATTCTCATTTTTTCTATTAAAAAAATTGTACAGGAAGAGACAGTATTCGATGAACTTCATGCGTAAACCTTGCTTCAAAAAAATTTATTATCGCTTTCGTAAAAGATAACGGTAAACAATTAATTTTACAAAAATATAAATGACATTTATTCATTACAAACACACACACACGCACACTAAAACATGAATGAAATGCATCAAAACAATGTTTTCTATTTTTAATTTCCTAAATGAATTTATTATTGATGAAAATAGACACGTGGTTGTTGTTGATTATGATGATGATGATTCGGTTCTAACCAACGATATAATGATGATTCATCAAAATGTCTCGTACGCACTTTGATACGATAATGATATTCTTTAAGATAGCTTTTCAATATTTGTGGCAGTGGTAGGCGATTAATTGAATCATATGAAACACGATCACAAATTGTAACACGTGCCAAATGTTGTAATGAAAATGTAAATGTACGATTCAATGGTTTGGTAAGTACTGGTTCGAAAAACATACAATGAGATGGTACTTTATAATGTTCGATTAGACCGGTTACAGTTGGTGATGAAAATACACCCGGATCATGTGAATCAAATGAGAAACGATGTTCCCAATTTTCGATTCGTGCATGTAATGAGCGTTCAAATCGTCGAAACGAGACAGAAAATAAATGATCTTCTTGAGCAGAATCACGTAAAAGAAATGTTCCTTCTGGTTTGCCATCCAATAAACGTTCAGCTTCATAACGATCCATTTTACCCCAATAAAAACTACGATTAGTAATTGCCAATAGATCTGGTACTAAACAATTGATGTAATCAATCTGTGTATGAAATGTAGGTGTTGAAAGGCTAGTCGAACGATTCATATTATTAGGATCCGTTGGAATATGATTGATTATGGGCATTTGAATTGAATAAGGTTCATATGAATGCGGTGGTTGTTGTTGCTGTTGACCATCGACTGATATATTGTCATCGCTTGATGATGAGGCACCGGAATTCGGATTAATGGATGAGATCGATGAATTATTATGATCTTGTTGTTGTTGTTGTTCGAGATGAGAATCATGTGAAGATATATGTGGATGATGTAGATAACTATTTGAAAAGCCAGGTAATACAACAACCACTGGGAACGGATGTATTGGTAATGGTGGTGGTTCTGGACTACGAGTCATTGGTGTATTTGGATGACGTCGTCTTAATGAAACAAGTCGACTTAATGGTTGATTCAACGGTGGGAAATTATCCATAAAAGCTAGATCATCTTCAATATTAACCCTGTGTGCATCGACATTGATATCATCATCATTATCATTGCCATTTAAATTATGATCATATTGAAGTTCATCATCAACAACATCATTATTATCATTGATGTTGTTGATTGATCTGGATGTTTGTTGGTCCATATGTTTCACAATTCTTTGATTCTTAAGTTGACAATTTTCATTATTAGTTGATGATTGTTGTTGTTGTTGTTGTAGATCTGTAATCGAATCAGTTCGTGTCAAACAACAATGATTAGTAAGGAATCCCATTGGTGTTGAGATCCATTTACGTTTTTTTATCATAAAAAATGATTTACAAAATTTATTCGATGATGATGGTTTTTTTGTTGTTGATAAATTTTTCATTGATTTTGTTACAGATTTATTATCATCATCATTATTATTATCTGATATTGGTTGAAATATGGCTGTTGAATTTTCATTATCATCATTATCATTATGATTATTGATTTCATCCAGAATCAATACTTGTAAATCACGTGATAATGATATAGTATTCTGATTGTTCGATGATGATGATGCAATTAAATCTGAATCCGATAAAGATGGTCGAATTATCGAATGATGGCCATCAACAACATCATCATCATCAATATTATTATGATTTTCAGCCAAACTATTCATTGAATACATCACCATTATTTTAGATTTACCTGAAACAAATTTAAAAAAAAAATAAAATTACAAATTGGAAAAAAAATTTGCTTTTTATATAAGGGGTGACGAAAACAAAAAACAATACCTCACCTCATGAAAAAAAATAATATTTTCATTACACGCAACAGAAGAGAAAGCAAAAAAAAACGATGATAATAATGATCTTATCAATCAAGTCCCGGTTGCTGTAGTTGATATCAACCGTAACGTAATTGGCGCCAGACAATCAGTAAATAATCAAAAATAAGAAAAAAATATTTTTCTCAATCAATAAACAAACAGAATATAAAAACAATGATTCGGTATTTTCCAAAAAGAAGAAAGAAATTATGATGATTGTCAAAGAAAAATTTTTTCTTCTTCAAAGGCTATCAATGATATTTGGTATTGTTCTTGTCGTTGTTATCGCATCGAACAGAAAAAAAACCATAAGATTTCTTCTCTTGACATCCACAAGTAACAAACGGTGGCAATCTATAGATAAATAAAATAAAATAAAAAACTTTGTATCAATATAAATATAATTGTCAATTGTTTTTCATTCATATTTGATATGTTTTTTTTTCTAAAAAAATAATGTTATGTTAATAATAAATGATTACAGAATCTATATAATAAAACAACACTGAGAGAGAGAAAGAGAATTCTTAAATAAAATTTTTTATTTGATCAATGCGACAATTTGGCGTCATTCGACAAACATTGATATTTCATTTGTCGTAATCATTTGCTGTTGTTGTTGTTGTTGTTGTGATTTTTCAAAATTCTATGGAACAAAAATATATCAAGAAATGAAAAGGGAAAAAAAAGGTCACAAACAAAATGAATGGCTTGTGATATTTTCTCTTTATGAATGGTAAGAGTAGTTTTTCTATAAGACACACAAATACAAACACACAAAACGAAAAGATTGACAATGATAATAATTGTCATTTGTCAATCATCAGGATAATAATTATGAATGGAGAATGATTGATGAAAACAATGTTGTTTAAATGACCTTCGTCCATTTGTTTCAGGTGTGTGTGCTTGTTTGTCACAAAGTGACATTAGAAAAAAAAGGTAAAAAAAATCACATTGTGACATGAATATATTAACAAAAAGGTAAAACCATTATCACATCAAACAAGAAGAAAATGAAAGGATTGTGGTTGTGATAATCATCCAAATGGATCACCACTTTATTCAAAACAAACAAAAAAATCACGAAACAAATTTTATTCAACAAATGTTTTCTTACTATATTCAAATCTCTCTTAAACATTTTGCCGCATCAATCAACACATTGATTCCATGATTCCATAAATAACATAACAACAACAACAACAACAAATACTATTTGATGATGCTTGATTGAAAAAAAAAGAGAATTGATTGTCATTTCAAGGATTTATATGATTATCATTGTGTAGGTGTGTGTGTGTGAGTGTGGGTGGCATTTTTTTTAAAAAAAAGCCTAAATTATCAACACAAACGCCAACTTTCGATTTTTAAAATAACTTTGATTTCTATTGTTTTTTTGTTTAATCTATCAATTTATTGTTGTTTACTATCAAACAACAGTGATGCTAAAAACAATAAAATTTTATTTCTTTAGGATATCCGGCTCTCACTCTCTCAATGGCTTAATGCCAAATCTTATCGATGATAAGATAAACAGAAATGAAAAACGATGGATGCAATAACTTTATTATCAAGTAATTTAAAGATAAATTAATGATTAAGTTGTTTGTTTATAAGCAAAGTACAGTAGCCCAAAAAATCAAGTAAATTGATTTTCAACAACAACAACTTTCAGTCAGTCAATCAGTCAGTTAGCTAAAAAACTAATCATCAAAGATTTCCGTTTTTTTTGAAAATTTTTCGCAATTAAAATTTTAAAATCAAAATAGACAAGATAGAAGCAATTTGGATTAAAATAGCACACACACGCACAAACGTTCGAATTTGATTTTCCCTTCAAATTACGACGAAAATTGTGCGTAATTTTCAATTCAAATTTCGTATCAAAAAATCTTTTCCCTAGTTTAAACTTCTTCATAAGAAAATATATAAAGAAGGGGAAAAAATTCCCAAAAGATAATAGATTCATGGCCTGGCTACAAACACGATTCAAAATTCAACGAATTAATTTCTAATCATCATCTATTTTCGATAAATTCGGATCAAAACAACGATTTATGGTTGTGATGAGGGAAAAAAAATCACATTATCCCGCCGGGATCAACAACGACGAAAAAAAAACATCACCAGCATCATGAATTTTTTCCCATTTTCTCAAGCAATTAAGCAGAAAAGAAAAAAAATGTTCGTCATGCATCATTGTGAAATAAAAAAAATGATACAGGTAGCCATCATAGATGATTAAATCATTTGGAAGAAAAAAGAAAACATTGTTGAACGGGGAAAAACAAAAACACCAATCAGATATACCCAAAGAAAAAAAAAGTGTTTTTTTTCCAGTCAGCCATTCACACCATCATCAATCGATTGATAATGTAATCATCATCATCATCGGATGGATATCATTTAAAGGTGTGACCAGGGAAGATAAATAAACGAAAACAGCAACAACAAGGGTGGCGCCGAATTTTCGTAATAACCTGAAATATTTTCATGTCAAAATTTTCACTTAAAAAAATCATGTATTTTTTCCTTGAAACGAAACTTTTTTTTCAATTTTCAAATAACAATGGTTTTTTCAACAACAACAACAACAACCGTTATAACGTCGAAAATTCGCAAGATAAAAATAACCATCCAACAAAAAAAAAAAAAAACATTCAGATATTTGTCAAAAACATTTTTCATTATGCTTTTTTTTACTTTCAACCATCATTATCATCAAATT